ACAAAGGAAATTAATTAGAAGAAATATTTTAGAGGCTGGGGAGGGACTGAGAGAGGTTGGCCAGCCAGGGAGGGATCGCGGGAGGGCTCCAGGGCGTGTCCTGCCCATCTTGCCCAGGCCTGATTGGCTGAACCTCAGCAGCAAGCTAACCTACTGACCCTGGTGGTCAGTGGGTGTCATAGCAACTGGTCGAATGGTCAAACAAACAGTTGGACACTTAGCATGTTAGGCTTTTATTATACAGGATTATTTCATTTATTTATTTTGTTGTTAATCCTCACCTGAGGATATTTTTCCATTGATTTTTAAGGAGATTGGCAGAGAGAGGGAAAAACAGAGAAACATCCATGTGAGAGAAACACATAGATGGGTTGCCTCTTGCAGAAGCCCTGACCAGGGCCCAGGTCGGGGAGGAGCCTACAACCAAGGTACATGTCCTTGACCATAATCGAACCCGGGGACCCCTTGGTCCACAGGCTGATGCTCTATCCACTGAGCCAAACTGGCTAGGGCGCATGGACTCCCGTTAAACAGCTGGGATGGCTATGGTCTAATCACTTCCCAGACGTGGGCCTCAGCTTCTCATCTGTAAAGCCGCAGATGAGACGATTTCTAAGAATCTGCTCTGGCTCTCTACTCTGGTTGCACATTAGGATCACCTAGGGAGCTAATAAAAAAAAATTAAAAGATGGCAGACTTACTTGCCCCCTCCCCTCACCACCCCCCCTCCTGCCCCTAGTTGGTTAATTGATCCCAGGAGCAACTCAGACGTCAACATTTTTAAAAGCTCCCCTGGCAACTATGATAGCAACCAGGGCTGAGAAGCACCACTCCTCCAGACCTAAAGCTTCAAAGAAAAAAATTCCAATGACAGCTCAAAGAAGGAGTCCTAAAAGCTTAAATTAGGAGAATTTGGTTTCTTTTGCAGTCTTACAAGTAAGTTGGTAGATGGGTGCTTAGGAACCTATAATCTATCAATCAGACAACCCTAACTGAGGGAGGTCAAAAGATTTTTTGGTACTCAAGCATTAGCAAGTGATTCCTACATATCTACCTCTGTAGTAGGTATAATGTAGAGAATTAACCAAGTGTAATATAATGCCTACTCTCAGGTCTGTAATCTAACCGGAGAAGCAAAACCAGGGGCAAACAGTATGTTGTAAAATGAAGTGCTAAACCTGAGATAGTTTACTGAGTACTTTTACTGCATGCCAGGCACCACCGGCGTTGTATAGTAAATGAACTTAATCCTCACGACAAACCGTTAAGGAGAGTTCTGTTATTATTCCTATTTCACACCTAAGGAAACTGAGGGTCAGAATGTTATGTAAATATGCCTCAGCCCATAAAGCTAGCAAGAATCAGAGGCAAGGGTTGAAGCCAGGCTCCAAAGCCAATGCTGGTACCATGTGCCATGCTGCCCATCCCAGGTGAGGAAGATTCCCATACAAGCTCCATAGGATGCCAAGAGGAACCTGGGTCTAATTCAAAGAATGTGTTCTACTAATGGAAAAAGGAAACCCTAGGATGCTTGTAGGTGAGTGAAGAGCGGGGGGTGGGGAGGGGGGGCTGGGGGAAGAGGGAGGGAGTTGAGTCAGGTGACACAGGACCTTGAATGTCAGGCACAACTTAGGGACTGGAGCAACAAAGAGAATTTATCATGCCTTTAACTGGCTGTGACCTGCTAGTGAGGTAGGAGGTGAAGCTGGTCCAGAGAACAAGGGCTGGGTCCTCTTCATCTTTGTTTTCTCATAGCCTAACACAGGCCTGACACATGGTTGTTACTAAATATTTGCTGAGTGAAAAGTTGAGAACTGCTTCTTTGAAGTCACTTGGAATTCTTTTTTCAATATTATTATTATTTTTTTTAATTTATTGTTTGAAGTATTACATATAGTATTCCATTTGTCTCCTTTTTCCCCCATTGACCTCTCCCCGGCCACCCCCACCCCCCAGCACATGCCCTCACCCTCCTAGTGTCTGTGTCCATTGGTTATGCTTATATGCATGCATACAAGTCCTTTGGTTGATCTCTTACCCTCTCCCCTGCCTTCCCTCTGAAGATTGACGGTCTGTTCGATGCTTCTCTGTCTCTGGATCTATTTTTGTTCATCAGTTTATGTTCATTATATTCCACAAATGAGTGAGATCATGTGGTATTTCTTTCTCTGACTGCTTATTTCACTTAGCATAATGCTCTCCTGGTCCATTCATGCTGTTGCAAATGGTAAGAGTTCTTTCTTTTTTACAGCAGTGTAGTATTCCATTGCATAGATGTACCACCGTTTCTTAATCCACTCATCTGCTGATGGGCATTTAGGCTGTTCCCAAATCTTAGCTATTGTAAATTGTGCTGCTATGAACATAGGGGTACACATGTCCTTTCTGATTGGTGTTTTTGATTTCTTGGGATATATTCCTAGAAGTGGGATTACTGGGCCAAATGGGAGTTCTATTTTTTAATTTTTTGAGGAAACTCCATACTGTTTCCCACAGTGGCTGCACCGTTCCCACCAGTAGTGCACGAGGGTTCCTTTTTCTCCACATCCTCGCCAGGACTTGTCATTTGTCGATTTGTTGATGATAGCCATTTGATAGATGTGAGATGGCACCTCACTGTTGTTTTGATTTGCATCTCTCGGATGATTAGAGTCACTTGGAATTCTTTCTTTTATTTTCATGTTTAAAACCAAGTTATTTCTCACTAAAACAGGTATTCATCTGTGGAATTCTTAATCTTCATCTCCAACTCAGGCTGGTGAAAGAGCAGCACGACACGCAGTCCTAGACTGAGGCAGGAGCAAGAGGAATGAGGACTGGACAGTGGAGACAATGCAAAGCAATTAACTGGTGTGGCAACATTTGATTAAGTACACGACTGAACGAGGCAGTAGCATTCACATGCACGCTTAGGGGGCAACTATGACCATGTACATGGCCAGCAACCTAGCCAACACGCAGAGTTCATTTTATAGAAGGGCAGTGTGATTCCCAGAAACCACCTGGCCAGAGGACCTTCCTACAAAGAAGTGTCACCGGTGAGTAGAATGTTATGTCACTTCCATAGGGTGCTTTTCCAGTGAAGGTGGAAAGAGGTGGGGAAATTCCTGGAACTGGCTAAGGACAAATATCCTCGCTAATTTTTTCCCCAAACTTCTATTTCAACAACTCAAGTCTGGGAGCCAACTTAGAGAGCATCTTTCAGTCAGAAGCTCATAGCAAACTCAACAATCTCATTGCCTGTGTCAAAGTGGAATCCCTTCCCATCCCTTTCAATGGGAGCTCAACTTCTTCCAGGGTGGCAGGGCCAGGTACCAGATGTGTGGACAGAACTAGGCTGTTGAACATTTAAATCCTGGTGATTCCCCAAACCACTTAAAGCCCAAAATAAAACTATTGTTATGCGTCTCATACAGTAGCTGTTTCAACTCTGCTCACCTAATAACTACTACGGGATCAAACATTGTGTCTTCATAAACACTGAGTGGGTGAGGTTAGGCCAACAGGAAGTCCAAGGGCTTCAAGGCCAGGGTGCTTGCTCTGATCTGACTGGAGCACTGGAGCCCTAGAGCCCGCACCTCAGAACAGTCTTTGCAGAATGTATGGCTAGGTTGAAAGCTGATTTTTGATTAGCATTAAATCCAGGCTACATTGAGACCAAAGTAGTCTTAAATTTTTTTCAAGTTAATCATTTTTTAAAAAAATGTTTTTATTGACTTTTAGAGAGAGAGGAAGGGAAAGGGATAGGAAGAAACATCAATGAGAGAGGAACATCATCATCCATCAGCTGCCTCCCGCATGCCCCCACCCCCAACTAGGGCTTGAGCCTGCACCCTGGACCTATGCCCTGATTGGGAATTGAACCGGCTATTTCTTGGTTCCTGGGTCGATGCTCAATGGCTGGACCACACCGGTGGGGTCCAAGATAGTCTTTAAGTTTCTCAGAATGCCATAAATGGATTCTGGTTACTCTTTAGAGCTTGGGTGGGCCTGGCTGGTCACTTCTGGCTGCAAGCAGTCTCAACAGGCTAATCCAGTGTATCTTAGTTAATCACAGTGTCATATAAATCTTTTTTTTTTTTTTGTCATAAGGTAAAAAGGTTAGAAAAGGAAGCATTGCTCTATAGCAGGGGTCCTCAAACTACGGCCCGAAAACATTTATCCGGCCCGCTGGGTGTTTTTGCCGCTGCTGTGTGCATAGGAATTTGTTCATAGTTTTTTTTTTAAACTATAGTCCAGCCCTCCAACAGTCTGAGGGACAGTGAACTGGCCCCGTTTAAAAAGTTTGAGGACCCCTGCTCTACAGTATTACTGTTTCAAGGTCATCTTTATTCCTAATAATTTTAGTATACAATTTAAGTAAGATTCAAATATATAATATAGCAGTGGTTCTTTCAGTACAATATCCTCTTGTGAATCTGATAAAGTCAAAGCCCTTCTTCTGAGAACATACCTCCATTCATTCACGCAATATTTTGCACACTTCAGAGGGTTATAGGGTCTGTTCTGGAAAGATTATCAGACAAGCCAAAGCGTACTAATTTTAGTTTATCTGCTTATTTCCCCCCACCCTTTCTCTAGTACAGCTTCAAAAGACCAGAGAGTTGTCAAAGAAAAATATGAAAAAAGCATTACACTGAACTCCCTTAAAATTTCCCGGGGAATGTGCAGAAACCACTATCAATCCTGAGTGGCATTTCCAAGAAACTCGCAGCTAGCTGCTCTGGGAGGATATGCTAATCACTGTCTCCAAGCTCCACCTCCCCTGGCAGTACTAACTGCTGGTGCTGGGAACCACTTGCAGGTACAAAGCAATCTCTGCACACCTCCCTTTAGTTTGTGTTTATAGGACTAGAAGCTCCATGTAATCACCTACAGTCTCCCTTCTCCACTGCAAGCACATGACCTTGTTCATGTGTATTCATCACTCCACAGTTGTCACTAATCAAGGCAACAGTGTACAAATGGGGAACAGGGGGGAAAAGGAACGTTTACATCAATTAATTTTAGCAGCATCTTTATTGCAACAAAGAACCTGTAATAAAATGCGACAAAACTAATGTTTTGCTTTACATGATTAAAAGCTATGTAGCTGAAAATGAGAAAACCCATAAACTTACTGGTGTGAGACATGCAATTCTTTTTGTACAAGTCAATGCTTAAAACAGCAGGCACTTTATGTTCTAAAATTAAAGACCTGAACTCCAATTGTGCTGAATACAAACAAAATTTGTATTTGGGTTATTTAAAAACAAACACATGAACACTACTTTTTCTCTGTCTGTAAGGGACTTCTGAAATGATTACCTAGAGCTGGCGCTTGACAAGCAAGCAGGAGCCAGCACCTTGCACTGACATGTCTCCGTATTTTAGGCTGCAGGATGATCAGTGAGGCCGGGAGGGCTGGAAAGTGGAAGTTAAGTTTCCTTATTCCTTTATGTCTGCCAGGAATGGACACTCACACATCTTAGTGTACATAGGGCCATGTCTCTTACTTCAAATAGCTCTAAGTTGGGCTCCTAGGCTTAAGCAAGCACTCTATATCCCAATCCCCAAACCCCCCACTACACCAAGGAAGACACATTTAGTATAGCAATTTTAATTAACTTCAGAATGTCATATACTAATGAGAAGTACAGCTTCATTAATAAGCATGCTTAGCATTTACTTTAGAATGGAAAAATTAACCATTTTATGTTATCTTTAAAATGTTTCATAGGAATATATTAATAAATACTTCTTTAAAAATTTGCCTTTTCTACATATTTAACTACCATGAGTCAGGACATCTGGATGGAGTCTAGTACCAACTGAGCACTAACTGGCCATGGGTATATATTCTTCTCTTTATATATGTCGGTTTCTCCTCTAACAAAGAATATTAGATTATATCAAAGATGTAATAGCTTGAAAATGTATGATTCTATAATAAGAAGAGATCTTATAGGAATCATTCCACCTAAAGAGAGAAAGATGTTAGAGAGGTAGGCTACACCTTCCGTGAGGAATAAAACAAGTAGTAAAAAAAGTAAGCATCATTATCTATATCTCATTCTTTTAAAAAGTAACGCATGCACCGTGACTTCATCCTCTTGTATGAGGCTTTGGAAACCAGCCAGGAACAGCATAGAGGGAAAACCTTCATTCCAAAAGGACTCTCCAGACAGAGGGGATACAGTTGATGATACCTTCTGCTTCTTTTAGTGAGAAGGGACCGATAGTTAGCACAGGTGAGCAGCTGTTTTGACTATTATTTTAGGTTCTTGTAAATCAGTCCAGTGTAAAAATTAACCATTATTTTCTTAATCCAACTTCCTTATCTACAGAACAGTTTCTTAAAGCAGCCCACCAATGGCTTGCTCTAGAACCACCAGGAAAGCTCCTTAGAAATATAGATTCCTGGTCTCCGCCCAAATAAACCAAATCCAAATCTCTAAGAGTAGGGTTCAAGCCTCCATTTCTTTTAGTTAAGTGTCCCAGATTAATTTTAGATTTTGAGACCCACTAGCTTAACAATGCATAGGCAACTATACCTGCCAATGGTTGATCAGGTGCACCCCTTTATCAAGCCTACAAAAACCCCATTTGATGTTTAACCTCGTGCTTTTTGGATCTCATCAAAACTGCTGCTTTTATATACTCCTGCCTTTTAAGTTGTTACCTCTGAATAGGGGACCAATAGTTTTAGTTATATTTCTACTGATTGCTTGAATTGACTATGATGTTTTTCACATCAGTTTAAAACAAATTTAGTCAAGCTCTCTTTCTGCAAGTGACTTCAGTCAGGTATTTTCCCTCTATAGAAGGAGATTGGCATTTAAGTGACTGGGAATTATAACAGAAGCACTCCTTGTGATAGAAGGAAAAGAGAAGGCAAGATGCAAAAGGAAAACCTGTGAAATCAAGAGTGCATGCGGTTTTTAAAGGTTTGTTTTGGTAAAATAAGAGATGCTATTTTGAAAAAAGAGTCTTAATGGGTAAGAGGCTTCAAATGGATAGGTTCTAAAAGCCACTGTCCATACCATTTCTACATTTATATAAGGATAGATCCTTAGATGCCAACTAGTTCACAAACAAAACCACTTTCAACCATCAGATATATACTTAAGTCTTGTGGGAAAATACTTTCTTGGGGAAGAGAAGTTACCCAAATCAATTTAATTTAACATTGAAAAAATATAAACAAATCTTCGCATGGGAAAACATCATAAACAAGAAAGTCAATACATATACAGACAAAAGGGGAAATTGTGGCACCTATTATACAGTATAAATACACAAACAGCAAAACCTTCCCCTTCCCGTGGACAGAACCACCAGGTCACCCTGCCTTCTGGACTCCCCCACTTCCCACCTGGCCCTCACTGATCAAGCCCACCTCTGATGCACAGTCACCATTCTTACTAATGGAGGCCGTGCTCTCTATGGGAGAAATCTCCTCTGTGTAGTGGTGAGAGAGAGAGTGAAAAAAACAAACCAATTTCCTTAGAGCATTGTTTCAAAATACTTGTAGCAACTTTCCAAACACTGAGGTCTGTGATAAACAGGGTCAAACTCGGGTGCCTTCTCCATTACTGGCTCCAATGTAACCCATCTGCACCCCAAGACTCTAGGGGACAGATCCCAATCAGCACCTGAAAGCCTACGAGCTCTGTGACAGCCAGCTAACCTAGGAAATGCCATGGCCATTCAAGAAACTGCTCTAGGCTTTGAACACTGAAAAAGAGACATGGCTTGTTGGGGATCAGTTTATGGTAAAGAGGTTGTTCTGGAAACCTTTAAGTTCACAATATCTAAATTTTGCTCAAATAATTAAAAGAGGATCAAGATCATTTAAATTTGTAAGGTTTCTAAACTAAAAGGAAATAACAAAAAATTAGAATTATAAAAGTAACTCTTAAGGAACTTTTCCTCTCCTGAATAACATTATAGTCTATAAATATAAAAAGAGAGTAATTTTTAAATTCTGGTTTCCTTAACATTCTAGGAGTTTAAATTTTACTTTCCAGACTTTTTCATGAGGACTGTTGGTCAAATTATACTTCTTAGTCCTTGAGCAGACCCTCCTCGCCTTCTCCTTTCCCTGTCATTCTCCACACCCTAGTCTCCCCACCCTACTGAGGTTCCTTTCCTTCTCTCTAAAACCCTGGAACATTTTAATAAGGAAATACCCAATGGAAACTGGCACCACTACATTTTCTGAATACAAGTGAATGTGTACTTTTTCCTTTTCCTAAAGGAAAATAAATTGCCAGTAAATATTTAAGCTCTAATCATTTGATTAAAAATTTTTTGCCTATAATTATCAATATTATAAGACTAATTAAATACATGCTACATATAGGAAAAGGAAAAACTCACTCTGCCATTTCATCAAAGAGAACTATTTATACTAGGTACAGTTAAAATTGGCTAAAAACCGGTCAGAGCATGAATGAAACAAAATATGTCTTTAGGAGGCCACTAAGTTTTCCTTGAAAAATCATTAATGACTGGTTAAGTCATAGATTTAATAGTGATTAGTTCATAACATGCTGGATACACCCCAAGTGATGAAGCTTAAGCTATTCAATTACATTTAAGTGCTATCAAATCTGTAACTAGTCAGAGATTCTGGAATTGAACCAACCAATCACTAATATCATCATATTTTACAAACTCAGAAGTATACTGTAAAAATACACTAATTAAGTCCATGAGGTTTATAATGCTATTAAAAGTGGAAAAAAAAAAAGGTAATATGGATACATAGTGCTAATGTCTTATTTCTTTTAGTAATTCTCAAGGTATTGCTGGGTCCCTTAGAAATACGTGTCATTCAATTTTCTGTGTGTATGGTTAAAAGTATCAGATTACTATCCATGAACTATAGATGCCTGCATGGCACCAAATATACTTTCAGAAATAAATGTTATGTGGCAGGTATCAAAATGTGATGATCAATTCTATACTTTCTATTGATTAAACCCCCGCATTTGGTTAAACAGCCAGTGTATACCAGAGTTCTACACAGGTCAAAATTATATCACTTTCAGAGCAGCAATACGTGATCCAAGGTTTTCTTGAAGGTAGTGCAAAAGATGCAGTTCATAATGTTCTCCAGATTCAGGAACTCTTATGCTGTGTCTCTCCTGAGGATAGATCTTAACAACAACAAAAACAAAAAATAAGAACTTAATAATACATCTCCTTCCAAAGATTTCAACAAGATTAATAATATAAAGCATACCCTCTCCAAGATATTACACATATACATCCTATCTAGAGGCCCCTCTCCTCTTTTTAAATTAATTTTTCAATTGCAGTTTACATTCAATGTTATTTTAAATTCGTTTCAGATGTACAGCACAGTGGCTAGATGATCATATACTTTACAACCCCAATATTTCAAGAACCCACATGGCATGTTACATAGTTATTGCAATGTTATTGACTATATTTCCCATGCTGTACTTTATATCCCCATGACTATTTTGTGACTGCCAATTTGTACTTCTCAATCCCATCACCTTTTTCACCCGGTCACCCAACCCAACCTCCCCTCTGGCAACCATCAGTCTGATCTCTGTAGCTATGAGTGTGCTTCTATTTTGTTTATTTTGCTCTTTAGAGTCCACATATAAGTGGAAATCATTTGGTATTTCATCTTTATATGTCTGACTTATTTCACTTAGCATAATACCCTCTAGGTCTATCCATGCTGTTGCAAATGGTAAGATTTCATTCTTTTTTATGGCCAAGTAATATTCCATTGTATGTATGTACCACAGCTTTTTTATCCACTTGTCTATTGATGGGCACTTAGGTTGCTTCCATAGCTTGGCTATTGTAAATAACACTGCAATGAACATAGGGGTGCATATATTCTTTTGAGTTAGTGTTTTGGGTTTCTTCAAATATCTATAATAATAAAAGCATAATATGCTAATTAGACTGGACAGCCGAACAACCTTCCAGACGTCATTCCAGTCATCCTTCTGGATGAAGCCACCACGGTGGGGGCCGAGGCAGAGGGGGTTAGGGGAGATCAGACAGGCAGGCAGAGTGGTTAGGGGCAATCAGGCAGGCAGGCAGAGGGGTTAGGGGCAATCAGGCAGGCGAGTGGTTACAATCAGGCAGGCAGGCGAGTGGTTACGGGCGATCAGGCAGACAGGCAGAGGGGTTAGGGGCAATCAGGCAGGCAGGCAGAGTGGTCAGGGGCGATCAGGCAGGCAGGTGAACGGTTAGGAGCCAGCAGTGCCGGATTGTGAGTGGGATGTCCGACTGCCAGTTTAGGCCCAATAAACAGGCAGTCGGACATCCCCCAAGGGGTCCTGGATTGCAAGAGGTTTCTAAACTAAAACCAAGAGGTTCCCCCCCTCCCCCGCCCCACACGAATTTCGTGCATTGGGACTCTAGTATACCCATAAGTGGGGTAAAGACAGTCTATACAATAAATGGTGTTGGGGAAATTGGACAGATACATGCAATAAACAAACAAACAAACAAATGACACCACCTTCTTACAGCATATATAAGAATAAACTTAAAATAGATTAAAGACTTAAATGTAAGACCCTCTCTTCTTTTTATAATTCCCTATATACCACTAAGCTTACAGGATTTATGTGTAGACCAATGGTTCTTCAAGTGTGGTCTGCAAACTTCTTAGATCCTCAAACACCCTTTCAAGAGACACATAAACTACTTTCAGAATAATACTGAACTATTATTTGCCTTTATTTCCTGGGTTGGCATTTGTTTTGGTAATGCAAAAGCAATGGTAATAGTGCTGGTGCCTTAGTATTAATCAAGGCAATGACATTAAATTGTATTAGAAGTCATAGTATTTTTCACCACCACATAATTGCAGTAAAAAGGAAAAATGCCAATTTTACTTAAGTCTCAAAAAAATTAGAAATAAATTTTCTTAAATTGCAACCCTTGAGTAGATTTCTTTTTAATATTCTGTGTGATGAAATGGAAAGAACGCATAAATTACTTCTATCAGATGTCTCAGGAAAAACAATGTTTGCAACTGAGTTGCGAGCTGAACTGCCACTTTTTAACATGAAAGAATGGCTGACAATTATGATGATTCAGACTTGGGTATCTGGCAAACATTTTCTCAAAAATGAATGAAGTGATCTTGGTCACTTCAAGGATAACACTGACAGTGTTTGTTGCTGATGATAATTTTGTTGTTGGTGTTGTACATATTCCTTTTTTGCCTTTTTTTCTTTTTAATATTTTTACTGATTTCAGAGAAAGGAAGGGAAAGAAATAGAAATACTGATAGAGAAACACACCGATCAGTTGCCTCCTGCACGCCTGCCCCTCGCCCCCCCTGAAGATCGAACACAAAACCCAGGCATGTGCCCTGACTGGGAATCGAACCATGACCTCCTGGTTCATAGGTTGACTCTCAACCGCTGGGCCAGAGTGTGATGGGTTGAGTCCATGGGATGACACTCAACCACCTTGAGCCACAAAGGCCAGGCGCCAATGATAAATTTTGTTAAGAGAAAATTAAAATTTTGGAAAACTTACATCTACCACTACTAGTTCATGAGCTTCCCAATATGTACTTAAGAGACTTTTCTGATGAGATCAGTGGAATTTTCATGTGAGTTTTAAAATACTATATAATTAAATGAGTCAACATTCTGAAGATTGGCAATACACAGTGAACCAGAATTTTCCAGATGACCAATGCACGGTAAAAGATCCATTTGAAATACAAGATCCAACAGATGATAATGTAACAGAGTATGAAAAGTTTACAGATATGGCTCAGATTCCACCGTTAAGAAACTACCATTTGTCCAGTTTTGTGGTATCAAAGAAGAATAACCACAATTATCTGAAAACTCTAAACCTCCCATTTCTTAAATATATATTCTGTAAGGCTGAATTTTCTTCCACATACTTTAGCCAAAACATTTCGCAACATACTGCATTCGAAGTAGCTATGGAAATCCAGGTGTCTTCCTTATTAAGCCAGACATTATCTCCCCTCTCCTATAAAAATGTGATTTTCGTTAACATGTAATAACTTTAAATAAATAAATATTTTAAATTAAAACAATTTTTAAAAGTTGATTTTAGAGAGAGAGAGGAAGGGGGGACAGAGAGAGGGGAGGGGGCGAGAGAGAGAGAGAGAGAGAAAGAAACATCGATGTGAGGGAGATACATCTGATGGACAGCTTCCTGTACGCATCCCAACTGGAAATCAAACCCACATCCTGGGTATGTGCTCTGATCAGGAATTTAATCAGCAACCTTTTGGTGCACAGGATGACGCTCTAACCAACTGAGTCACACCAGCCAAGGCTTAATATTTTTAATAGTATTAATATCTTATACAAGAAATACTGATAGACATAAATCACATAAACAAAAGTTGATATGTAAAAGGGACCAAAATGACTGATAGTTGCTGCTCTACCTCATAGTTTACCTACTGAAACAAAAAAGGAAAAAGTAGTATTTTTCATTTCTTATGAGCATATAATCTGTGTAAGAAATAGAAAGGAGGAGGAGTTTTTCTTAAAACCTTTTTATTTGAGTAATGGAGCAATGAAGGTGTGTAATAACTTTCTGGTTTCTACTCTATTATCAATATAAAATTAAATTAAAAGACCATGTAGCCCTAGCTGGTTTGGCTCAATGGATAGAGCACTGGCCTGCAGACTGAAGTGTCCTGGGTTCGATTCCGGTCAAGGGCACATGTCTGGATTGTGGGCTTGATCCTCAGTAGGGGGTGTGCAGGAGGCAGCCAATCGATGATTCTCTCTCATCATTGATGTTTCTATCTCTCTCTCCCTCTCCCTTCCTCTTTGAAATCAATAAAAAAACATATATATAAAAAGACCATGCAATCAGGTCCTAAAACTCCTTTGCACAACAATGTAATTAAGTAACATTTCCTCACCCTTCCAAGGGGAAGAAGAAAATCAAAAGAGGACAGAAATGGACTCCTGCCATCTTTTCCATGATTACAAACTGAAAGCAGATACACATACACACATCATGGAATCCAATAGGCCAGTCTTCAGCCTGACTTCAACAGAATCTTAATTTTTATCCAACTAGGGGTACTATTAACTAGGCCTATTACTTTAGTTCTCTTAAACAAAGAATGGTCACAGCTGGAAATTAGGCCTTACTTCATAATTTGTTGTATTTTGAAGTAATCAAACACTAATCACTATTTATTTTAAAAATGTAGAAAAACTCGACTGGGCCCTATAGGACACCTAGCACAGAAAGCCACTCTATTGACACAGTGAAGCATAAAAAAATGCGGAGACAAAGAAACAGGACACAAATGACAGAAATGGAGGAAAGCAAACTACTGGATATAGAGTTCAAAACCACTTTTAAGGTTTTTCAAGAATTTTCTAGAAACCGCCGATAAACTTAATGAGACCCTCAAGAAATCTAATGAGACCCTCGAGGTTGTGATAAAGGACCAACTAGAAATTAAGCATACACTGACTGAAATAAAGAATATTATACAGGCTCCCAACAGCAGACTAGAGGATCGCAAGAATCAAGTCAAAGATTTGAAATATGAAGAAGCAAAAAACACCCAACCAGAAAAGCAAAATGAAAAAATAATCCAAAAATACGAAGATAGTGTAAGGAGCCTCTGGGACAGCTTCAAGCGTACCAACATCCGAATTATAGGGGTGCCAGAAGAAGAGAGAGAGCAAGATATTGAAAACCTATTTGAAGAAATAATGACAGAAAACTTCCCCTACCTGGTGAAAGAAATAGACTTACAAGTCTAGGAAGCGCAGAGAACCCCAAACAAAAGGAATCCAAAGAGGACCACACCAAGACACATCATAATTAAAATGCCAAGAGCAAAAGACAAAGAGAGAATCTTAAAAGCAGCAAGAGAAAGACAGTCAGTTATCTACAAGGGAGTACCCATACAACTGTCAGCTGATTTCTCAACAGAAACTATGCAGGCCAGAAGGGAGTGGCAAGAAATATTCAAAGTGATGAATGCCAAGAACCTACAACCAAGATTACTTTACCCAGCAAAGCTATTATTCAGAATTGAAGGTCAGATAAAGAGCTTCACAGATAAGAAAAAGCTAAAGGAGTTCATCACCACCAAACCAGTATTATATGAAATGCTGAAAGGTATCCTTTAAGAAGAGGAAGAAGAAGAAAAAGGTAAAGATACAAACTATGAACAACAAATACACATCTATCAACAAGTAAATCTAAAAATCAAGTGAATAAATAATCTGATGAACAGAATAAACTGGTGATTATAATAGAATCAGGGGCATAGAAAGGGAGTGGACTGACTATTCTTAGGGGGGAAAGGGGTGTGGGGGATGCAGGAAGAGACTGAACAAAACTCGTGCACCTATGGATGAGGACAGTGGGAGGGGGGTGAGGGCGGAGGGGGGGTGGGAAACGGGTGGAGGGAAGCTATGGGGGGGAAAAGAGGAACAACTGTAATAATCTGAACAATAAAGATTTAATTAAAAAAAAAAAGAAAGTGAAGGGATGGAAAAACATTTTCCATGCAAATGGAAAAGAAAAAAAAAGCTGGAGCAGCAATACTCATATCTGACAAAATAGATGTTAAAAGCATCATGCTAAGCCAGCGGTTCTCAACCTGTGGGTTGCAACCCCTTTGGGGGTCGAACGACCCTTTCACAGGGGTTGCAAAAAAAAGAAAAATGTAGAAAAACTCACCTGTAAATCATATGGTTTTCCAGCCCTCACTAAAAAACTCAATAATATACTGGTGTGTGCAAAATGGACATTCTCATCCAAGAATCCATGTAAGAGCAGTAAACGATTTGGTCTGGAGAAATGGAAACATCAGAGGATTAGGCAAAACAGAGTTTGAGAAAACCACTTAACTCTTTTAAACTAATCACAATTACCTATGCTAACCTCCTTATACTGTAGAACAAGGATTCAACATTTTCAACGTTAATATATTTGTAAAATATTAACCAGATGCTACGTGTATGAAAGATTTAAAAAATAAAAAGAACATTGTACAATTTGCTATTAAGATATTAGCACACATCCTATATAATAAAAACCTAATATGTAATATGCTAAGTGTCCGGTCATCCATTCAACCAATCAAAGCGTAATATGCTAATGATATGCTTAAGCCGCTCAACTGCTCGCTATGACATGCACTGACCATCAGGGGGCAGAGAGTCGATCGGTCAACCAGTCACTATGATGTGCACTGACCACCAGGGGGCAGACGCTCTGACTGGTAGATAAGCTTGCTGCTGGGGTCTGGCCCATCAGGACTGAGCGAAACGGGCCGGACACACCCTGGAACCCTCCTGCAGTCCCTCCCCGGCTGGCCAACCTTCCGCATCCCTTCCCGGCCCTGATCGTGTACTGGTGAGGTCCCCCGGCCTGGCCTGTGCCCTCTAGAAATCTGGGACCCCTTGGGGGATGTTGGAGAGCCGGTTTCGGCCCAATCCCACAGGCCAGACCAAGGGACCCCATTGCTGCACGAATTCGTGCACCAGGCCTCTAGTCAATAATAATGGCATGTCCCCAGAAAATGAAAAATCATAAGCATTATTTGTAAAATAACGCAGAAATACAATTTTTTTCCACCTTAAATAGTAGTGCACTTAAACTTCTTTTATAGCACAAGCAAATTGTTTCAAATATAACTTGTAAAAAAAAAACCCACACACAAATGATAGGAAATGGCCTATAATTGAGCTTTGAGAATCACCCATGCCATATTAGTATTCTATAAAATATTGGTCTTGGTTACAGTATCTGTAGTTTTCATTACTATTAAATAAAATTTTAAATTTATAATCTTAATTTAAAAGCTTGAACTTACTCAGAGGGGAACTTTTCTGCTTGCATGGCCACAGATCCTAAGTAATAGCCCTGTTCATTCTGGTCAGGGTGACCCATGTAACGTTCTGTGTAGCCTGTATCATAGAAGATCCACAGAGTGACTGGGGCTCCAGCAATAGCAACCTGCATAAGGCAATAGTGATAGTCAAGTGTGGTCCAGAAAAGAATGGCTAGCAAAGAGGTTTTAACTGCAAGTTAATAGGCTAATATTATCATTAGGCTTTAGCTCCACTACTGGAGCTACATGGTCTCAGGACACTCAAAAAATCAAAGTGGAGTGCCAAGGTCAAGAACTTGATACTTTGTGAGTCAGTTAGCGTTTTGTTCCATAGGCATGCTGTATACCAAACCCTTAATATGGGCTAGTTGAAATATAAGCATGTTTGTTAAAAGGGTAGACTGAACTAGAACATATGAATGCCTCAGTATAAACTCATTCCTGCCACTGGAGAAAAATGTCCTAGAAGTGTCAGCTTTATATAGAAAAAACAATCTTTTTTTTTTAAGCTTCTGTTGGCAGTACAGAATTTAAAGTAATAAATGAAATATATTTAAGCATTAAATAGTTACCTCATTTTAAGGTTCCCACACACACTTTTATATTTAAATATTATAATTATATTCTTGACAGCTATAAACCTCGAGAAATTATGATAGTTTTCAGAGTTCACCTTGTGGTTATTAAAAATAAAGATTAACTGAATATACATTAAAACAAAATAAAACCTTATCATTTAAAAAAAATTTTTTTTGTTAATCCTCATCTGAGGATATTTTTTTTCATTGACTTTTTTAGAGAGAGTAGAAGAGCGGGAGGGAGGGAAGGAGGAGAGAGAGAAAGAAACATTGGCTGCCTACAGCATGAGCCCTAACTGGGGCCAGGGATCGAACCTGCAACCCAGGCATGTGCCCTTGACTGGGAATCAAACCTGTGACCCTGCCATGAGTGGGCTGATGTTCTAATCATTTAGCAACACCAGCCAGGGCCATATTTATTCTTAAAAGTAAAAATTATTTTTCACTATAAAATAAAATCATGTTATTGAAATACAGGGTGGAGCAAAAGTAGGTTTATAGTTATGAGTACATAAAACAGTTTATTCTTATATTATTATTATTTATTAATGATTGTTTTATTTTTCATATGAACAACTGTAAACTTACTTTTGCCCTACCCTATATAAAAAACCCCACTACTCATAATCCCCACTCCCTTAACAACTGTTAGCATCTTTTTTCTTAAAATATATTGTTATTGATTTCAGAGGGGAAGGGAGAGGGAGATAGAAACATCAATGATGGGAATCATTGATCAGCTGCCTCCTACACGCCCCACACTGGGGATCGAGTGAGCAACCCAGACACATGCCCTTGACCAGAACTGATCCTTCAGTCCACAGGCTGACGCTCTATCCACTGAGCCAAACCAACTAGGCCGACAAGTGGTTTTTAAAAAAATAGATAACAAGTAAATATACAGCTCATATGGATACACAAGTTGACAGATATTTCTATTATCTCACATTGCTATTAAAACACAAAAACCACTCTGGCCAGTTTTCTCAGTGGTTACAGCATCGCCCGAGGACTAAAGAGTCGAGGGTTCAACGTCTGGTCAAGTTCACATACCTCGGTTGCAGGTTCCTTAGCCCCAGTAGCGGCATGTGGGGGAGGCAACCAATCAATGTGTCTCTCTCATGTCCATGTTTTTTCTCTCTCTCCCCCTCCTTCCTCTCTTCCACTCTCTCCAGAAATCAACAGGGGGAAAAAAAAATCCTTAGGTGAGGATTAACAAGCAAAACAAACAAACAAAAAAACCCCCACAGAAATCCTAACATTCCATAATAATGCCAACTTTGTAAAACTTCAGAAAAATCATCATTTTCTTATATCCTCAATTTACCGAAAATTCTGTCCTTATTACCAAAAGAAGTGCATTAGGAAGTCACATACCCTGAAGATATCTGATCTCTGGATTAATGCCATCAGGGAGAGGTATCCTCCATAGGACCAGCCATGGATGCCCACACGATCTAAATCAATGAAATCATATCGAGAAGCTAGATATTGGAGTCCTTCTACCTGGTCATCAATTTCTATTTGTCCCTGTCAAAAAAGAGAGAACATTTCACTGATTAATGAATAAAAGTCTCATTATAAGAGTGCTTTTGAAGCTAAAAAAAAAAAGTTATTAAAAATACCTGTAGTTTTTTTTAGATTAGAACTCACTGCCCAAAAAACTTTTTTAAAAACTGTATTTAGAGATAGGAGCCTATAGCTTCTGTTGCTAGTCTGCCCTAGAGTTTAGTTATCCCTTACTCATAAATTTATTTCCTACTGCAACCCAAACTGTCCCTTACCATATGGGTATTTCCCACTTGTTCCATTTGTTCTGTTGTCTGCTAAGAGTCAGCATCTTCCTTGTAACAAGCCTTCCCATACCCAAAGGCAAAAAATTAGCCCTCTTAAGTGGTTGACTAATTTCACTTCTCCTTTTTAAAATGTAATGCAGTAGAGTCGAAGGAATCACTCTTGAGGCCTTATCCTCCTGTTTCCCCATAGTATACCTCTAAGAACTGAACATACCATTTCTTTAAAGTCCTATGAAGTCTTAATTCCTACCACCTCCACCCTGTCTGTATTACTAGGCCTGCCAGTGCACACAATCTCACTTCACTGAGCAAAAAACAAAAATAAAAACAAAAAACTTACATGAGAATACAACATAAGGTCAAAGAACTGGCTGTGGGAGAAAATCCCCATGTCTTACTCAGCATGTCCAATACACTGGCAAACACAGTAATTGCCTTACTGTGCAAAAGGAACATCGGATTCTCATCATTTCCCAAAGCAGCAGAAAGGACATGGGGCATCTCTAAAAGGTAGCATTTAAAGCTTCCTGTAGAGAGAAAGAGGCTTGTCACAAGGAAGGCACTAACCAGTTGGTTTCTCTCTTCACAGAGGACAGAACAAATCTCAATTATTCCTCTCAATAGTGTACAGGATGCTGAAAGCTAAATGTTGCTGCCTTCTGGCTAAGCTGGATATACAAAAAAGGAAGAGAGGCTATTTCTATGTAAAGGTGGTTCTATCTCAGCTCCCCAAAATTATATACAAGTAGATATGAGCTAGCCTAGTGAATATCAAGATGCATCTTCCCTCCCATCCCCAAACTCTAACACACACACTCTCTCTCATTCACTCACAGCCCCTTCCCCCGACTCTCTCTCTCTGGGATTTCACACCAAACAATGCACCAGAAAATGTGTCTTTGAAAGAAAAATGTTTGTATGTTCACACACCATTTTATATTTAAAGGCGCCTTCAAATTTAAGCCCTCGGTGACAGGATCCCCTGTTGTCTATCACTACAACCACATAACCCAGGGAGGCTAGAGTATTCAAACGGAAATACTTGACTCCTTTAAACCGATTATTCACCAACTGCACCTGAGGAAGAAATACAACTTCAGTGAAATTTATTATATGGTAGCATACAAAAGCATAATAGAAGCAGGACACTGTGAAAAGTAGAAAGCTTAAATTTATAACATTATTTTGCCTTTAAAATAATATAGTATCATTAATTATAGGACAATGTTGTACAGAAGATCTCTAGAACTTATTCATCTGGCTTAACTGAGACTTAATGCCCATTGATTACAACATTTTCCCCCTCCATTTATTTTTAAATTAACTTAAATCTTGTCGTGTTTATGTTGCTTCTTTTTTCTTTTTTAATGTATTTTTATTGATTTCAGAGAGGAAGGGAAAAGAAGAGATAGAAACATCAATGATGAGAAAGAATCATTGATCGGCTGCCTCTTACACGCACCACACTGGGGACCAAGCCCGCAAACTGGGTTTGAGTTTTGACCTGGAATTGAACTGGTTCATGGGTCTATGCTCAACCATTGAGCCACGCCAGTCAGGCTCTTTTTTCTTTTCTTTTTCTTCTATGTGGGATGGTTGATCTTGAGCCTGCAGGGAGCAAGCTGGCCTCAGATTTCTCCAAGTCCACATTTCTTTGCCTCCAAATCTTACGTATCCAAAGACAAGGAAACACTGACATGGTTTTAGGTAGGAGGGTACTTCTTTCTTAGCTTCACACTTAATTCAGGGCAATTACTGAGCAACTAATGATTTTAAAACTATAACCTAGATATTAATTACATATAAGACAAGAGATTTAACCTATCCCATAGACAAAGTTACTAAAATGATTACTTCTACCCTGAAGAACTGTGTCAAATGGTAGAGACGAGGATAAATAGATCATTTTTCTTCCCTACCTATCTCTTCTGGGATTATCTTTGACCAGTAGTAGGAAAACTTAGTATTTTAATAAAATACTGTGATTAGTCTAGGTACTTTTTCCCTATTACAAAAATCAGTGCAAAAGGCAGAATAATTCTTAAATACCTTTATTGCCCAAAAACTATACATAAAAATGACTGGGAAATTAAATGTAGCTTTGTGTTTCACCAGGAATAAACTATCTAATGAAAAGAGGACTTTAATTAGTGGGAAGAAAATTACAGAAGGTCAAGGTTTGGTGGACACTAGATAGATATTAAACAACAACAAAAAAGTCCTGGCAAATGAGAAAGAAGTTTTCTCTGGCTGATACCAATGGGAAAACCAAGTCAGTCAGGAGTTAAACAAGAATCAACATTGGCCCTGGCTGGATAGCTCAACTGGTTTGAGTGTTGTCCCCATATGCCAAGGTTGCAGGTTTGATTCCTGGTCAGAGCACCTAAAAGAATCAACCAATGAATGCATAAACAAGTGGAACAACAAATTGATGTTACTCTCTTTCTAAAAAATAAATTAAAATAAGAATCAACACTACCTTCCCTCAATAAATTGCTACCGAGCATTTATTGGGTTAGATTGGGGTGGGAGGTGTAGAAAATCTTCTCGTTTTGAACATTTGGACGTCAGTACCACTGTAACAACTGTCAAACTTGTCTTCCTGTTTCTATTCTTGTCCTCCTATAGTCTGTTCATAAGGTAGCAGAGCAATGTTTTAAAAATGTAAATCAGCTACTATTTTGTAGCTTAGCGCCCTCCAATGGTAAACTCCTTACCATTGCCTTTGAGACCCTACATTGTCTGGCCTTTGGCAATTTCTCTGACCTCATCTCATACCATTTCTTTCCCTATGCACTGTACTCTAACCTTATTATCAACTATGATTATAACCACAGGACCTTGAACTTGACATTTACTGTTCCCTCTGTCTGAAATGCTCTTCCCTTAGATTTTTAATGTGGCTCATTCTTTCTCATCCTCTGTAGAGACTTTTCCTTACCTTCCTATTGGAACTTCCATTTTAGTGATTTTGCCATCCTCTTTCCGAACAATTATTCATAGCCTTCCATTTATGAAGTAATATATATTTTGTGTCTACTTGTTATTTTCCTCATTAAGCTCTATAAGGGTGGATCATTAGTCTGAGTTGTACACTGCGGTATCCTCACTGTCTAGATCAAACCATAACCTCCTGGTTCATAGGTTGACGCTCAAACACTGAGCCACGCTGGCCAGGCCTTGAATTGTGACACTCTGACCTGACTACACACCAAAAACAAACATGGGCCACTGACATGATTTAATCAAGTTTCACAAGGCTATTGTGTGCCATTAGAAAGGAGCCTTTTCGTAATAAACTCAAATGGAGTCATCCAGCAAGAGGATGAATTGATTTCCCTGTGGGTTGAAGTGCCAGAGGCATTCTACCATGAAAAGTCTCCTAGGGAAATCTCCCTGCAAACTGAATGTCAGCTTCTCCTATGGCCTCACCAAATTTGAATGTTTCTAAGGAACACTTTGAGAAAGGAATTGTTTCTATAAGTGCAAGAAAGTACAGTTGAGTTCATAGAGAGGTGTAGAGGATCTACCTAATACATAGTCACAAACCCAAATGGAAAGCCAAAATGAAGAGACAAAGAAACAACCCCCAAATGAAAGAACTAGAGAATTCTCCAGAAGAAGAGATAAATAAAGCAGAGATAAAAAATTTATCTGGATCAGAGTTCAGAATAATGATGGTAAAAATGCTCAACAGCATGAAGAAAGATATAGTAACTATGAAAAAAGAACAGTCTGAGATAAAGAATGACATAACACAAATAAAGAACACATTAGAAGGAATACACAGCAGATTAGGGGAAGCTGAGGATCAAATCAGTGAATTAGAAGACAGAGTTGAAAATATCACTCAATCAGAAAACCAAAAAGAAAAAACAATTAAAAAACAGGAGGACAGCTTAAGGGAGCTGTGGGACAATGTGAAACATAACAATATTAGAATAGCAGGTGTGCCAAAAGAGGCAAAAAGGGAGAAAGGCATAAAGAAGGTGTTTAAAGAAATAATGGCAGAAAACTTCCCTAACCTGGTAAAGGGAAAAGTCACACAAGTGCAGGAGGCACAAAGAACCCCAAACAAGAAGAACCCAAACAGGCCCATGCCCAGACACATAATTAAAATGCCAAAAATTAAGACAAAGAGAGAATCTTAAAGGCAGCAAGAGAAAAGAAAACTGTTACCTACAAAGGAGTTCCCATAAGGCTGACACCTGATTTCTCATCAGAAACTCCAAAGGCCAGAAGGGAATGGCATGAAGTACTCAAAGTAATGGAAAGCAAGGATCTGAGACCAAGATTACTATATCCAGCAAGGCTATCATTCAAAATAGACGGTCAAATAAAGAGCTTCCCAGACAAAAAAAGGCTAAAGGAGTACATCACCACCAAGCCAGCATTACAAGAAATGCTAAAGGGATTGCTGTAATGAGAAGAAGAAACAGAGAGAAACCTAGCCATACAGAATTAACACGTTAAGCGCCCAGTCACCGGTGACTGACACTATACTTTCCATCTGGAAGACAAAACAGGCTGGGCGCTTAATGTGTTAAAATGGCAATAAATAAGTACCTATCAGTAATAACCCTAAATATAAATGGATTAAATGCTCCAATCAAAAGGCGTAGGGTAGCTGAATGGATACAAAAACATGATCCAACTACCAGTATATGCTGTCTACAAGAGACCCACCTCAAAACAAAAGACACACAGGATGACAGTGAAGAGATGGAAAAACATTTTCCATGCAAATAGAAAAGAAAAAAAGCTGGAGTAGCAATGCTCATATCCGACAAAATAGACTTTAAAATGAAGGCTATTACAAGAGACAACAAAGGTCACTACATAATACTAAAAGGATCAATCCAACAAACATATATCACCCAATATAGGAGCACCTACATATATAAAAAAACTTCTAGAGGACTTTAACGGAGAGATCGACAACAATACAGTCATAGTAGGGGACTTTAACACTTCTCTGACTTCACTGGATAGATCTTCCAGACAAAAACTTAACAAGGAAACAGAGACTCTAAAAGACAAACTGGATCAGATGGATTTAATTGACATTTATAGAACATTTCACCCCAACGTAGCAGAATACACATTTTTCTCAAGTGCACATGGATCATTCACAAAGATAGACGACATGTTAGGACACAAAACAAGTCTCTACAAGTTCAAGAAGACTGAAATATATCAAGCATTATCTCAGATCACGTGGAATGAAATTAGAAATCAACTACGTAAAAATGCCCAAAAACATTAAAACACATGGAGGCTAAATAGCATGTTATTAAACAAAGATTGGATTACCAATGAGATCAAGAAAGAAATAAAAAACTTCCTGGAAACAAATGAAAATGAACACACAACAACCCAAAATCTCTGGGACATAGCAAAAGCAGTCCTGAGAGGGAAGTTCATAGCACACTACAGGCAACCTCAAAAAACAAAAAATCACCAAAAAACTATTTAACCCTACAACTTAAAGAACTAGAAAGAGAAAAACAAGAAAAGCCTACAGTAAGTAGAAGAAATGAAATAATAAAGATTAGAGCAGAAATAAATAACATAGAAACTAAAAAAACAATACAAAAAATCAATGAAACCAAGAGCTGGTTCTTTGAAAGACTAAACAAAATTGATAAACCATTAGCCAGACTCATCAAGAAACAGAGAAGACCCAAATAAAAAAAATCAGAAATGAAAGTAGAGAAGTAACCACTGACACCACAGAAATACAAAGGATTGTAAGAAAATACTATGAACAACTATATGCCAACAAGCTGGACAATGTGGATGAAATAGACAAATTCTTAAAAAATACAATCTCCCAAAACTAAATCAGGAAGAATCAAAAAACCTGAATAGTCCAATAACAACTGATGAAATAGAGGCAGTAATAAAAAAAACTCTCACCAAACAAAAAGCCCAGGTCCCGATGGCTTCACAGGGGAGTTTTACCAAACATTCAAAGAACTAACACCTATTTCAGAAAATCCAAGAGGAAGGAACACTTCAAACTCTTTTTATGAGGCCAGCATTATCCTAATTCCAAAGCCAGATAAAGACATTACAAAGAAAGAGAATTACAGGCCAATATCCCTGAACATAGATGCTAAAATCCTCAACAAAATATTAGCAAAACTGCATCCAGCAATATATTAAAAAGATCATGTACCACGATCAAGTGGGATTTATTCCAGAGATGCAAGGCTGATACAATACTCGCAAATCAATAAATGTGATACATCACAAATTGAAAGACAAAAATCACATGATCATATCAATAGATGCAGAAAAAGCATTCGACAAAATTCAACACCCATTTTTGATAAAAACCTCAGCAAAGTGGGAATAGAGGGAGTATATCTCAACATGATAAAGGCCATATATGACAAACCTATAGCCAACATCATACTCAATGGGCAAAAACTAAAGCCATTTTCCCTAAGAACAGGAACAAGACAGAGATGACCACTTTCACCACTCCTGTTCAACATAGTACTGGAAGTGCTAGCCATAGCGATCAGACAAGAAGAAATAAAAGGCATCCAAATTGGAAAAGAAGAAGTAAAACTGTCATGACATGATACTGTACATAGAAAACCCCAAAGACTCCAGTTGTGTTCATAAAGTAATCCAAACAAACAATTTTTTAAATTGCACTAAGATTTTTTTTATTATGTAAAATATACATAACATAAAATTTATTATTTCAGTCCTAGCCAGTTTGGCCCAGTGGATAGAGTGTTGGCCCGGGGACTGAAGGGTCCCTGCTTCAATTCTGGTCAAGGGCACATGCCCAGGTTGCAGGCTCAATACCCAGTAGGGGACATGCAGGAGGCAGCCAATCAATGATTCTCTCTCATCACTGATATTTCTCTCTCCCTCCCTTTCCCTTCCTCTCTGAAATCAATAAAAATATATTTTAAAAAAATGATCATTTCAGCCATTTTAAGTGTACAGTTCAGTGGCATTAAGTACATTCACACTGTTGTGCAACCATTACCACTATCCATTTCCACAACTTTTTTATCATCCCAACCAGAAACTCCCTTCATACCTATTAAATAGAACTTCCTATTTCTCCCTCAATCCCTGACAACTTCTACTTTGTTTCTATGAATTTGCTTGTTTAGGTACCTCATACAAGTAGAATAATACAGTATTTGTCGTTTTGTGTCTGGCTTATTTCAGTTAGCACAATGTCCTCAAGGTTCATCCATGTTATATATTTTTAAGGCTATATAATATTCCGTCATGTACCACATTTTGTTTACCCATTCATCTGTCAATGGATACTGGGGGTTGCTTCTACCTTTTCGCTACTATGACTAACACTGCAATGGACATATCTGTTCACATATCTGCTTTGAGTATACACCAGAAATGGGATTGTCCATCAGACTGTAATTCTGTTTAACTTTTTAAAGAGCTGCCATAGTGACTGGATCATAGCTCTCTTAATGGGTATAATGTGGTGTCTCACTGTGGTTTTGATTTGCACTTCCCTAATGACTAGTGATATTGAGTGTCTTTTCATTTGGCTTAGACTTTTAAAACTTAACTACTAATATGAGGTATCTGTTAGTCTTAAAATCTAGATAACCAGATAGTTTTTATACTGTGTTTTTCACATAGTTCATGTATCATTTCTTCATTGAGAAGGAAAATCTTAGCCTTAATAACAAAATAGCCGGAACCGGTTTGGCTCAGTGGATAGAGCGTCGGCCTGCGGACTGAGGGGTCCCGGGTTCGATTCCGGTCAAGGGCATGTACCTGGGTTGCGGACACATCCCCAGTAGGGGATGTGCAGGAGGCAGCTGATCGATGTTTCTCTCTCATCGATGTTTCTAACTCTCTATCTCTCTCCCTTCCTCTCTGTGAAAAAATCAATAAAATATATTAAAAAAAAAAATAACAAAATAATATAACAAAATATAAAGCTTCTGAAAGTGTCCTCTAATTTCTTTTGAGTTTTTGCATTAAGCCTTAAAAAAAAAGTTTATAAAGATTTGACTTCAAGTTTTTAACAGAAGTCTAATTTAACATTCTCATGATTTATGTGTAGATAATTATAATACAAATGTGAATCATGTTTGTTTGTAAAACACACTTAACGATGGCAAAGTGATTTAACTTTATATAGATCATCGTTGAGAGTTTATGGTTTATGTAGTTATTTTACTTTTATTTTTTGGATGAGTTGAAATCTAGATATAGTTTCAGATACTAAGTAACTGGGCATAATTGTAAAGGATATTTACTGAGTACAAAACAGTGTAATTATATTCTAATTTCCTCAATGGCTCAATGTAAGATATATAATCAAGAATAAACATTTTAAAAAATTACCAATTAACCAATTCACTGACCCCAAATACTTTACTCTGATAGACAATGGAATTTACTTAATACTCACATGCTAATATTTAATATAGAGAAAGGAAAATCAAGGTTAAGCTTTTTACAGTGATGAATAGTAGTATAGCAGTTGCCTTAACTAGCTAGTAAAAGTATTCTAGTTGCTTAAGAAATACAGCTTAGAATGAAGAGTGGAAATTCATCAGGTTACCATGGCTTTCTAAAAATAGCTGTTAAAACTCTTTTTATTTACCAAGAAATTTAATTAATTGCATTTCCCCGCAAAATTTCTTTAGATAGAAAACAACATATTTTCCTACTGAAATGAGTATTTCATTCCCCACAAGTTACAGTTCTTATTGTAAATTAAGAAATTGACACTGATTTACAAATTAGCCAGCTTCCTAAACTCCTAAACTGGATAATTAAAACATAAGCCAGAGTCAATAATAGCAGAGGCTCAACAATGCTCAAATCTTAACTTAAATAATTGACTTTTAAAACTTAATTACTAATATGAGGTTATCTGTTAGTCTTAAAATCTAGATAACCAGAGAGTTTTTATACTGTGTTTTTCACATATCATTTCTTCACTGGAAAGGAAAAACTTAGCCTTAACATCAAAATAATATAACAAAACATATAAAGCATCTTAGAGTGTCCTGTAATTTCTCTTTTGAGCTTCTTTGTATTAAGCCTTTTTTTTTTAAGTTTATAAAGATTGCCTTCAAGTTTTTAACAGAAGTCTAATTTAACATTTTCATGATTTATGTGTAGATAGCTATAATACAAATGTGAATCATGTTTGTATGTAAAACACACTTAATGATTATATATATGTAATAAAATATACCCACCTGAGGACCACCATATATGAACAGCACAGTGGGGTATTTCTTTCCAGGTTGTAAATCATGAGGTTTGTAAAGCATTCCATACAATGTAAATCCAGTAGTACTTTCAAAAGAGAAAATTTCCGGAGGGGTATAGTCAGGAAGAGGACCTTTAAGGAAATAACATACCGAGTCTGTTAGGAAAGTTGTTATAGGAGCTCTACAATATGATAGCAAGTTAAAAATAAACCCACACTCAAAAATAAATAAATAAATAAACAAATAAGTAAATAAATAAAAATAAATAAGTAAAAAAATTAAAACATAAGTAAATAAAAATAAATAAATAAGTAAGTAAGTAAATTAAAAAAAATAAACCCACACTCACACACAAATAACTGACCATCCCCCTTCCAGGTGATAAGCAAAAAATTATCTTTACAAAAGAAAACCTAATGAACATATCAAACTATCTATTTCAGAAATAAACACACCGTATTCTGAATAATCCTTGGAACATAGGATTATTGTGCAGAACTATACAAATACTTTGTGCTCACTTCGGTGTAACTTATTGATGTTTAATACATATATGTGATTAGAAACTGGAAGCACAAATTTAACTTAGTCATTTTAATTTGCTCAAGGCAGGTGCTCAATAAACATTTTTTTCTGATAATTAGAGAATAAGCCTAACCAGAAGCCAGAAAAAAGTCATGATCAATCTTTGGTTTACAGACCTATCCTAAGTCTGTGTGTGTATTGGATGATATTACAGTTTAAGCATCATCATCACTATATTAAAAATTCTATTGTGCACATTAGAACATACCTACATCCTGTGATTTTATACTAATTCTTAATCCCTTAGCAAATATTAATGCATGAAAATACTTAACTGGATTAAAAGATAAAATTAGTACATTTTTTAAGAAATCAAACATTTTAAAAATAGATAATTAACCATGCTCTTCACTTCCATAGAGAACAGGAGTTCTTTTATGGCCATCCCAAGTGCTTCAAAAGTTTAAGAAAGTCATCAGCTGGTTATTCCCTAAAGCTATAGCTTCACTGCTCAAAGAGTATTACTAGTTCAGGGTACCATTATCTTCAAGCTCATTTGTTTATCTGGAAAATCATCCAAATGTGTAAACAAATGGTTTCCTGGCTGATATGTTGACTACTTTAATCCTATTTTCAAAAAGGCCTTCCAGCCCTAGCTGGTTTGGCTCAGTGGATAGAGCGTCGGGCCTGCGGACTGAAGGGTCCCAGGTTCGATTCTGGTCAAGGACACGTCGGGTGCGGGCTTGATCCCCAGTGCGAGGTGTGCAGGAGGCAGCCGATCAATGATTCTCTCTCATCATTGATGTTTCTCTCTCTCTCCCTTCCTCTCTGAAATCAATAAAAATATATTAAAAAAAAAAAAAAAGGCCTTCCAGACCTGCTCCTGCCTTGAGTGGGAGGTAGCCCATATTACTTGGTAGTTGTCAGAATAGGAGGGGTGGGATCAATCAGAAACCCAGCAGCTCGGAAACAGGCGGTAGTGAGAGATGGGAAGACTGTGTCCAGGAAATGCGGACATATCACACAGGTTTTAGAGCCTATAATAAGGTTGCCTATAACAATTAATGTGCTAATCCTACTTAAGATCAGGTTCAGGGAAATGAGTACCTGCTGAATCCAAAATGGTGGCCCAAAATTCCTTTGTTTTACAAGTTGAGTCATCTTCAGGACTTGACAGCTTGTAAAGGGACACAGAGTGTGGATTCTTCTGGTTACTGTACTTACTTATAAAGAAGTCACAATGCTAGAGAAAGAAGAAACAGTTACTTTTCCCCCAGGGAACAGTAACAAATGTTATCTGCTACTATATCTACTCTGATGCCACAGGAGGAGTATGAGTCTGAGCATTTATGTACACACACAATGCTGAAGTTAATGTTAAACTTTTCAAAGTTTTTCCCGAGAATCAGACTTCTGCAGGCCAATTGGACCCATCTCCACATTACTCAAAAGGAGTAATATAAGAATAGAGGTTTTTTTCTATGACAGGAAACCCTTTTCAAACAGGGACTTAATACCCGGCTGATGCAGCAAGAGTGGGAATAGCCACGGTCGGTCAGCCTTGTCACTTCTCCAGGATTTACATAACTGACCACGTACAGGTGATGTTCTAAAGGAGAATCTTTGGTGCCTTCAAAATATACCAGCTTTCTGACTTCATCAACCTGGATCTGTCAAAATAACAACAACATAAAAATCAGAGCTAGCATGACCTTGGCAAGGTCAGTAATTCAACCAACAATCCCCAGTTTTATTCAGAATCATGTGAGTCATCCTTTGACTTGTGCCTCTTTTAAAAAAAATTTCCACAAGTGTTCCTGTCGGGTTTGTTTATGACTTATAGCTAAGAACAGATCCTGTCCAGAAGAAAAAAGGACACCAGAGTTGCACACTATTGGTAGAGTTTCCTATATGGTCAGAATGTATGCTTTTCTTAAAATACAAGAATTATTCCGTTAAAATGACAACCATCTATAGGAAAAATAATAGCTATATTGCAGCTTAGGCCAACCATTCATGCACACTTAACACAGTCTAATTTCAGCATCCTATATATTTCTCAGTTAGTGCAGTATTATCTTAGATAGTACTTTTGGTCTTCTGTACAAATCTGCAAAAGTGTTTCATTTATTGGGTTGGGGAATAATTAAACTCAACCATAGTTTCAATATCAGTATAGTTTATAAATAAGTATGGATAAGATCTCTTAAGTCTTCATTCAAAACTCAAAAAAGTTTACATTAGTATAATTTTTTATTATAAAAACTTAGAATTCCACAATAAGATTTTTTTCTCAGTTGACAACATCCAAAGTCCCTAAACAGAAAAAAATTTTATTTGAATATACAACCAGAAGACCATGTGAAACTCAGTGATAATTAGACTTTAAAGGTTGCCTATAATATTCTACAATTTTTACCAACAAAAACAAGCCTGGGACCTGGATCTTCATTCTTTCTCAATCACCTGGTGACTATGAGTGACTTCTCTTAGTAGCTAGTATACACAATCCTTCAATAAATCTCCAAATCAATTTGAGGAAAAAATAGGTCTTCACTAAATCCTGGTAGTATACATCAATTTAACTGTATGTATCACACATATAAAGGATGGAGTTCTTAAGAGACTTCATAAAACTGACCACTTAACTGAAAGTTGAAACAAACATAAGGTACTATGAAAGTCAAAAGAAAAATTAGAATTCACTAAATAACCACAGAAAGCTACATGCTGAGTGAAACAGAGGGTGAATTTCCCTCCTTTTCCCTATCAATCTACTCTCTGTATAAATTTCTATCACTCATTGCAGATGGTGGATGAAATTTTAAATTTGTGAAATACGATAAACAGATGAATGAAAGAGAATCACTACCTCAGAAGCAGTAAATGTAACTTCTAATATAGAAATGACATGAGTAGTTTGTAAGACCTTTAAAAGTAATTTTCAAACTGTAGTTTAATTTACAATTTTTGCTAAGTTTGAGAAGTATGGATTAGCCCTTCCCTTATTAAGTAGCAACACAATATTTGAAAACGGTGACCTGTAATAACCAGTACACATCTAATACCAGGGCTATAAAATGAGAGATTTATAATTTAAATTAAGACTCAAAACATTGGGGTCATATGAAGTTGCACTACATACACATAGCAGACGTGGACCAAACATATCAGCAGAAAAAAAGAACATACATTAGATCCATGCCGGCCAAGAACTTCCCATTCACCACTGGTAATTGCTATTTCCTCTTTGACAGGACACTTGAAATCACCTAAAGATAACATAGTTATAATTCAGCACTTTATACCAGACTATATAAGCAAATGAAACAATAAAGAATAGTATTCTAAACTCTTTTTTCCAAAAAAGTATATTAAAAATGTCGTTATGTCTGGGATAATGAAAATGTTTTAGAACTAGTTAGAGGTGGTGGTTGCACAACACTGTGAGTATATTAAATGCCACTGTTCATTTAAAAATGGTTAATTTAATGTTAGGTGAAGTTCACCCTAAAAAAAAAAAAGGTCAACCGTTTAAAAAATTCAAGTTATACGTCTTCATAATACTCTGGAATAATGATGGAATGATCCATGCAAATAAAGTGAAAAAGCAAAATTGATTTTCATGGCAAAGCCAGAAAAGAACTCAAAAGCACCTGCATTCACAGACCTTTGGTTAGACAAATGAAGTCTAATGGGTCAACAAGGCATTTCTTCTAGAAATGCAACAAAATACTTAAGGAGGAAAATTTTAATATAATTGTTCTTCACTTGCTAAAAATATATCGGGTATTACCATATTAAATGCCAACATGCCCCATTTGTCTTTATGAGATTTTGTCTTGGCAGATAAGGCTCTCTCAGTGGTTTAAGGAGATTAAAAAATGGAAACGATTTCTCTTTGCCTAGCTGCTGCTAACAATGGCTATGGAAGTGACAGCTGAGGACATAAGATAATAAGATAGTACAGGCTCTTAGCTAATCCCACTCAAGTTAAAAAAATTTTTGACTTATTTTCTTTTTCTTAGATATAAAAATTCAACCTAGTACTTTAAATTTGATGGCCAGAAAATAAACATTTAACAAATATATAACAAGTACTAATTGTTTCACATTATAACCACTTAAGGAAGAAAAAAGAAAGGAGGAAAATAAAGTGGACATCATGGAAAAGGAAGAAGATTTGGAACAAGAACAACTAAGGAAAAAAAGAAGGAAAAGGGAAAGATGAGGTAGACAAATTGAGGAGCCCAGAAATAGACAGAGGGAACAGGAGCTTGGTGTTCTGAGATGAGTATTAACTGAGGTAACAGCTCTTCTTTTATTTTTTCCCATTGATTTTTAGAAAGAGTGAAAGGGATGGAATGGGGAAAGGGGAGAAAGAGAGAGAGAGAAATGTTGATATGAGAGACCATTGATTGGTTGCCTCCCAGGGAATCAAACCTGCAACCCAAGTATGTGCCCTTGACCAGGAATAAAACCTGAGACATTTGGGTGTGCAGGCTGACACTCTAACCACTGACCTCACCGGCCAGAGCAACAGTTCTTCTTTTTAAGTTATCATTTTCATATTAGTGAACCCAAAGTATTTTTTTAAATATATTTTTTATTGATTTTTTACAGAGAGGAAGGGAGAGAAATAGAGAGTCAGAAACATCGATGAGAGAGAAACATCGATCAGCTGCCTCCTGCACACCTCCTACTGGGGATGTGCCCGCAACCCAGGTACATGCCCTTGACCGGAATCGAACCTGGGACCCTTGAGTCAGCAGGCCGACGCTCTATCCACTGAGCCAAACCGGTTTCGGCGAACCCAAAATATTTTAATTAACTAACTACTATTCACAGCTCTCTGACCTGTCTTTATCACTAAATTTTCTGGAATTCCGTAAGTGATTTAATTTCTCAACAATAAAGGAATTGGTAGCACAATTTCACACTAAGGGCCACATTAAACTAAGGGTCTCAGGGAAGAAACTCTCTGTCTTAAATATATAAGATCTTGTCTATTTTTTTAAAAAAAATTAGGCTAAGGAAAGGAATAGAATCATATGTAGTATTTACTTTGCTAGTCCTAAGATGTAGCTGTTTCCCAAATAAGAATATTTAAAAGGCCATGTTAAAAACACACACACACACACACACACACACACAAACAAGCAACCCAATTAAAAACTCTGCAAAGGATTCAAACAGACACTTCTCCAAAGAAGATATTCAATGGCCAATAAGCACATAAAAAGATGCATAATGTCACTAGTCATTAGGGAAATATAAATCAAAACCGCCCTAACCGGTTTGGCTCAGTGGATAGAGCGTCAGCCTACAGACTCAAGGGTCCCAGGTTCGATTCCGGTCAAGGGCATGTACCTTGGTTGCGGGCACAACCCCAGTAGGGAGTGTGCAGGAGGCAGCTGATCGATGTTTCTAACTCTCCATCCCTCTCCCTTCCTCTCTGTAAAAAAAAAATCAATAAAATATATTTTATATATATATATATCAAAACCATAAAGACATACCACTTCACACCCACTAGGATAGCTATTACTAAAAAAAAAAAAAAAAAAAGTCGCCAAAAACCCCAGAAAATAATCAAGTATTGGTAAGGATGTGGAGAAACTGGAACACTTGTGTACTGCTAATAGGAATAGAAAACGAAGAGTAAGATGGTTCCTCAAAAAATTTTAAATAGGATTACCATAACATCTAGCAATTTCACTTCTGGGTATATACCCAAAAGAATTGAAAGCAGGGTCTCAAACAGACATTTGTACACCCATGTTCATAGCAGCATTATTCACAATAGCCAAAAAGAGGAAGCAACCCAACTTCAGCTGACAATACTTAATTTCACTTTGGACCAACATAATTATATCAATCTGAAGAGCTATAATTATAAATAAACTTCAGTGTAGATGGTGACATTAAAAAATCTAGTAAAAATATCTAATAACTATATATTACATTTAAAAATAGTTTTTTAAAATCTAAAAATGACATGGGCTCAGTTTAAGCCAATTAAAAATTACAGTTAAGGCAAAAGCAGAAAGTAAAAATAAGTAATCCCACCACCCAGAGATCATTCATTATCAATAGTTTAAGATATTTCTATCAAGAACTTTGTCCTATGAGGCACAGGCAAGATGGCTGATGCCAACTCAACTCTCCTGGAATGTAATTTTCAATTAGGGTTTGCAAGCATTAAAATAAACATACTAGCCCTGGAAGATGTTGCTCAATGGTTAGATTCAGACTGCATGCTGAAAGGTCTTCAGTTCAATTCCTGGTCAAGGGCATATACTTGGATTGTGGGTTTGCTCCCCCTCCCACCTCCCCCCAGCATGCAGGAGGCAACCAGTCCATGTGTCTCTCTCACATCGATGTTTCTCTTTCTTTCTCCTCCTCCCTTGCTCCCTCTCTTCCACTCTGAAAAGCAATGGAAAAAAATCCTCAGGTGAGGATTAACAACAAAAATAAAATAAACAGCCAAAACCGGTTTGGCTCAGTGGATAGAGCGTCGGCCTGCAGACTGAAAGGTCCCAGGTTCGATTCCGGTCAAGGGCATGTACCTGGGTTGCGGGCACATCCCCAGTAGGAGGTGTGCAGGAGGCAGCTGATCGATGTTTCTCTCTCATCGATGTTTCTAACTCTCTCTATCTCTCTCCCTTCCTCTCTGTAAAAAATCAATAAAATATATTTAAAAATAAAATAAAATAAACATACTCATAAAAACAAAGCAAAACATCTTTGTCTTACGTTGATATACATACACATATTTGTATTTTAGTTTGTGCATTGAGTTTAATGAAGCAGTATTGATGCTTATAAAGTATATAAAAGAGACAATACATTACCCCTGCCCCTCCCACCTTCTGCCCCCAACATTTTTTCTTTTTTAAGTAAAAAAGGATTTCTTACTTGGGGCAGGTAGCCCACCACTGGATCGTTTATATTTGCTCTCCTTTAAAATGGATGTAATTTTATATAAATGACGAAAACCTGTTTTGCATTCAGAGGCAAAAATAAATTCAATTTCATCTTCATGACTTTGGGGAAAAACATGAAAGATGTCATGGATCTGTAAAATGAATAGCTTAATTTAATATACAGATTAATGAAATACTATGTAAACAATTAAATTAAGCTAGAGAAAGACTTGATAAGCATATTCTGAAGTATAAGTAACTGATGGTGCTAGGGGCTATGGTATATTTACAATTACGATTTTGCCTAGGCATTTCAGATTTATCTTATTTAAGTCAAAGACTTCATGCATTGAGAAATAAATGTTTCCAAATGGAGAAAAAAATGCCAAAAGCTTTTACTTACCCACCATTTCTGTAATCCTTGAAACATAGCATGAGGCTTATTTAAAAATATAAATCTTATTACAGAAATTATGAGGAAAAAATTTTTAACATTTTTTTCCAAAGGAAAATATTCTAACAGTTGAAGGGAAAACAGATGTTTGTTTTAGGTGAATCTTATAAAGTTTATATTCGGCAAGAGAATGAGCTGGCTTTCTTTATTTTGTATCTTAAGTTTTCCCCACTAAATTGGAAAATGCACAATTCAACCCAAATTGGTATATTCTGGTATAATTTGCCAACAAAAAGAGAAAGTCTTTTCTACACAGAACTCTTATGGTCCTCTCGGAGGCACTGATGAGGCTGTGCTTTCAATATCTGTGTCTAGGAACAAAGGTAAACCTGCAGCCAAGAAGATGTCATTTCAATGGCATCTATTTTCTATCTACAACCATTTCATTATTCTAGAACAGGGGTCCTCAAACTACAGCCCGCGGGCCACATGCAAATACAAATATTGTATTTGTTCCCGTTTTGTTTTTTTACTTCAAAATAAGATATGTGCAGTGTGCATAGGAATTTGTTCATAGTTTTTTTTTAAACTATAGTCCGGCCCTCCAACGGTCTGAGGGACAGTGAACTGGCCCCCTGTTTAAAAAGTTTGAGGACCCCTGTTCTAGAACCATCACTCCAATCTGAAACGTTAAAACTAAGTAAATAATATTCGTGGTTACTGTGAACTTAAAAATTCATCTTGATAGTCTGCTATAAAATTTCATTTGCTTTAGCATTCTGAGAAAATATCTAACCAAGCACAGGAGAGCAGACATACATTTATCCAGATGTCTGTTGTTTCTTCATAGATAATCAGTGGTGTCACAGAATCAGGCACTGACTCAATGAGTCTCTGTCTTTCCATGGCATCATCTTCAACTGGGATAAATAATTCAGGTGAGATCAATACTATCTGTAGGCGAGTCTGGGAGCGATCTAGCAGGATGGACCAAGCACTATTTAAACAAATAAGAGAAAAGCACCAAAAATAAAGCAAGTTCTCAGAAAATGAATATTCTCCTATTCTCTCCCCTAGCACCCATCCGTTATTTCTGTAATCATAATGAAGAAATTACTTTAGTATATGTTAAATTATCCCTTACAAATGACTAATTAAATTTCCAAAATCACAGATGGACTTTGAAATTATTTTCTCCCTCTAGTGTCAACAAACGCCAGCCTCATAATACTCCCGCTGTCTGCATTAGACAGATCCACATGTAATCATCTTCACATAAGGCTCTACAGATACTTATTTGAATTATACAATAAAAAAATATGCACTTACCTGTGAGCCTTGAAGTCATACTATTTTAATCACAAATAGCTGAAACTATGACTGGCTAAGTAAGAGACAATTAAAATGCTATGCAACTATGCTTATAGGATTATAAATCCCAAAGTCCACTTAGGTAAAAAAAATCTTTGTGTATAAATAACACTGCAAATTTACATATGACTACAGCTCCAATTGAAAGGCAAACATAATAGCATAGACATTTCTAAAGTTCTGGATCCTCAATTATTTGCAAAGAAGTGAAAACTTAACATACGTACTATTTTCCCTCTGGAGTCCATCCAGCTCTGGCAATGTATTCAACTCCTTCAAACAGAATCTCAAAAGGCTGAATTAGTTCCTTATCTATGACATCTATAATCTATTAAAAAGGAAAAAGGGAATCTAGTTATAAAAAAAGACTAATTATCTAATTAGCTTACTAGTCTATTTAAATCATTATCTTTAGTAGCATGATACTTTTTCAGAGCTAGGCATTTAAAAAGGCACACAGGATATAGCAAAACAAGCAGTTGTGGGTTACCTCTGCTGGTGCTCTTTGCTCTTTATGCCTAAAAAAAGTCTAACCACAGAATTAGCACAGTCTATAATGGTTGCCAGAAGGGATGGGGGAAAGTTGGGGGACTGGGTGAAAATGGTGAAGGAATTAAGAAGTATAAATTGGCCCGGCTGGTGTGGCTCAGTAGTTGAGCTTCGATCTATGAACCAGGTTGGAGCACACGCCTGGGTTGCGGGCTCAATCCCTAGTAGATAGTCACAAAGTAGTCACAGAGATGTAAAGTACAACATAGGAAATATAGTCAATAATATTGTAGTAACTATGTGCAGTGCCAGATGTGTACCTGAAATTTTGGAGGAACTACTTTGTAAAATATATGACTACCTAACCACAGGCATACACCTGAAACTAATACAAAATAATATTGAATGTAAACTGTAATTGAAAAATAAAATTTAAAAAAAATTAAGTCTTTTCCCATGAGTTTATACTAACAGAACCCTTTATAATAACTGGTTAAAAAGTTTTAATAACTTTAGACTCTAGTACCTATGAAAAAAATAATAGTTCCTAATTCCCTATACTTTATTTTCATTTCTTACTAGAGGCCCAGTGCACGAGATTTGTGCACTGGGGGAGGCAGGGGTGGAGGGGTCCTTCAGCACAGCCTGTGCCCTCTTGCAGTCTGGGACCCCTTGGGGGATGTCCGCCTGCCGGTTTAGGCCCGATCCCTCTTGCAGTCCAGGACCACTCGCTCCTTACTGCCCGCCTGCAGCGGAGGTGGGAGAGGCTTCCACCACTGCACTCACCAGCCTGGCCCAGCTCAGGGCTTATGGCTGAGTGGCGCTCCCCCTGTGGGAGTGCACTGACCACCAGGGGGCAGCTCCTGTGTGGAGTGTCTGCCCCCTGGTGGTCAGTATGCATCATAGCGACTGATCGTTCCACTATTAGGTCAATTTGCATATTACCCTTTTATTATATAGGATTATTTTTTACTTTGTAACACTTTTATTAAGAGTGAACTGATATCAGTATTCCTAAACTATAAACAATGGGGAACTGAAATATCAAAGGAAACACATTAGAGATCATATATAATAGACAAAGATCCCTTAAATTTTCCTTTTGCCTTTATACATCAACGTGTAATATTTAAGCATAACTGAACTCCTTATTCGGTAAATGCTTTTACATATGCTTCCCTCTCTTTATTTTTCTGTGCCTTTATCTTCTGTTTGATTTTCAGCAATTCTGCCTGGATAGCTTTATCTTCGGGTGCTATCTCCTAAGGTTTCTTAAGATCAGCCAGTGCTTGGTCCTATTCTCTCAATCCTTGCCATCCTTAAGCTCTATGGTACTGTGCTTTGGTATTTGATGGTTCTATTTCAAGAACCTCCAAACAACTGTCCATTGTTCCGAGCCAATTTGACATCTTCAGTTTACAAGCACCAATATTCAGCATGCAGCTTAAAGCTACAGGTTGCTGCCTCGACCTATCTGCTTTCTCAATAATAGTCTTTGAACCTTCCACATATCTTAACATCTATGTATATTTTTTAATGGCCATTTCCCAGTTCTGGGATTTGAAAAAAAAATATTTCCAATATCTTAAGTCTTCTGTTATTAATAATATTTTATCTATGTCTTTTAAATCTATATCTACATCCTTGAGGAAATCTGGATGACTGCCACCAGAACCATCTTTTGAGCATATTTCCCAATCACCCCCTGCCTTCAATTCTCTGCATTCTGCAGTAGCACACAAATTGGCAGGTTTATCACCTTTCACTTCTACATTTTCCAGAATTCTTGCCACACTCATTCCTTTAATTACTTGGCCAAATACCATGTTTCCCATCCAAATGAGGAGTTGGAACTGTTGTGATAAAGAACTGAGAACCATTTGTATTGCAGCCTGCATTTGCCATGCTCAATAAACCCTCATGGTTGTGCTTATACTAAAAATTTTCATCGTCAAACTTTTCACCATAAATACTTTCTCCACCTGTCCCATTCTGATTTTAGAAATCTCTACCCTGAATCATAAATTTATTAATAATTTGACAGAATGGGCATCCTTTGAAATGGAGAGGTTCCCTAGCGTGGGTCCAATGCCTTTTTCTTCTGTATACAATGCATGACAATTTTCTGCAGTTTTGGGTACAATATCTACAAACAATTCTAAGACAACTCGACCAACTCACTCGCCGCCTATGTCCACATCAAAGAAAACTTGGGGTTACTGGTGTTGGAAGGCTTAGCCTGGGTGATGGGTGTGACATTTTAACTTGCAGATGTTTTTGGAAGCTGAAGCCCAATACTTGTTCCCTATATTTCAGCCTAAAACATTACTTTTATGATATATTAGTGAAATAGTCCTAAGCAAACTTTTCTCCTTTAAAAGTCTAGCCAATGCAATTAAAAAATGTTTTTTAAATGGGCAAAGAATCTGAATAGACAGTTCTCTAAAGAAGATATACTAATGGCCAATAAGCAGATAAAAAGATGCTCAACATCATTAGCCATCAGGAAAATGTAAATCAAAACAATAATGAGCCCAGCTGGCGTGGCTCAGTGATTGAGCATTGACCTATGAACCAGGAGGTCGCAGTGTGATTCCGAGTCAGGGCATATCCCGGGTTGCAGGCTTGATCCCCAATGTGGGGTGTGCAGGAGGCAGCTGATATAAATGTCCTATATAATAAAAGCCTAATATGATAAGTGCTCGGTTGTCCATTCAACCAATCAAATCGTAATATGCTAATGATATGCTAAGGCCACTCAACTGCTCGCTATGACGTGCACTGACCACCAGGTGGCAGACAGTTGACTGGCCGCCCAGTCACTATGATGTGCACTGACCACCAGAGGGCAGGCAGTCGACCAGTCGACCAGTTGCTATGACGTGCACCAACAACCAGGGGGCAGATGCTCCGACTGGTAGGTTAGCTTGCTGCTGGGGTCCAGTCAATTGGGACTGAGCGAGATGGGCTGGACACGCCCTGGAGCCCTCCCGCGTCCCTCCCCGGCCCCGATCATGCACTGGTGGGGTCCCTCCAGGGGATGTTGGAAAGCCGGTTTCAGCCCGATCCCATAGGCCAGGCTGAGGAACCCCACTGGTGCAAGAATTTGTACACTGGGCCTTTAGTATCTACACTAATAAAATACAAACATGCAAATTGACCGTACCTTCGCTACACCTTAAGCCACACCCACCAGCCAATCAGAGCGACTATATGCAAATTAACCCAACCAAGATGGCGGCCGGCAGCCACGGAGCTGGAGCAAGCAGGAGGCTTGGTTGCCCCAATGATGGAGGAAGCCAAGCTTCCTTCCCGCCCGCCCTGGCCGGCTCTGAGCTCCTCTCAAGGCTACAAAGTTTCAATTATAGAAGGTAAATAAATCCCAGAATAAAAAAGAAAAAAAGGAGAGGCTGGGAGCTTCCGTCGCCGGGGGCGGGCTTGGCCAGTCTGAAAACGGCCCTCAGCCCCTCACCTAGACTGGCCAGGCACCCCAGTGGGAACCCCCCACCCTAAAGGGGGTATGGCCAGCCTGAAAACAGCCATCAGCCCCTCACCCAGGCTGGCCAAACCTCCATGGGGTGAGGGTCCCCAATGGCGGGGGCTTGACCAGCCTGCAAACATCCATCAGCTCCTCACCCAGGCTGGCCAGGCACCTCAGTGGGGACCCCCACCCTGAAGGGGGTGTGACCAGCCTGCAAACACCCATCAGCCCCTCACCCAGGCTGGCCAGGCACCCCAGCGGGACCCCCATCCTGATCCGGGACACCCTTCAGGGCAAACCAGCCGGCCCCCACCCATGCACCAGGCCTCTATCCTATGTAATAAAAGGGTAATATGCAAACTGACCCTAACAGCAGAAAAACTGGGAATGACTGGTCACTATGACACACACTGACCACCAGGGGGCAGATGCTCAATGCAAGAGCTGCCCCCTGGTGGTCAGTACGCTCCCACAGGGGGAGCTCTGCTCAGCCACAAGCCAGGCTGACGGCTGCCAGTACAGCAGTGGTGGTGGGAGCCTTTCCCGCCTCCTCAGCAGCGCTAAGGATGTCCGACTGCAGCTTAGGCCTGCTCCCCGCTGGCAAGTGGACATCCCCCGAGGGCTGCCGGGCTGCCAGAGGGATGTCTGACTGCCAGCTTGGGCCCGATCCCCCCAGGGAGCAGGCCTAAGCCAGCAGGTGGACATCCTCCAAGGGTCCCAGACTGCAAGAGGGCATAGGCTGGGCTGAGGGACACCCTCCCCCCGCCCCCCGCGAGTGCACAAATTTTTGTGCACCGGGTGTCTGGTATATATATATATATATATATAAATACATATATATATTCGGATACTATGCAGCAAAAGGTCACTGGTCAGATTCCTGGTCACGACACTTGACCAGGTTGAGTGCTCAATCCCTGGTGGGGAGGGCCGGAGGGCATGTAGGAGGCAGCCAATCAATGTTTCTCTCTCACATCAATGTTTCTATCCCTCTCTCCCTTTCCCTTCCTCTCTCTCTCTAAAAAAATAAAAATTTAAACAGTTTGGTAGTTCCTCAAAAGGTTAAACATAGAGTTATCCTATGACCCAACATATCTAACCTACGTATCTAACCAAGAAAAATAAAACCGTATGCCCACATAAAAATTTATACACACACATTCATGATAGCATTATTCATAATAACCAAAAGGTGGAAACAACCCAAATGTCCAAATTGATGAGTAGATACATAAAGTGTACTATATCCATAGAATGGAGTATTAGGTGATAAAAAGTAATAAAGTGCTGATATATGATACAAGTTGGATGGAGTTTCAAAACATGATTCTAAGTAAAATAAACCAGATTAGCTATCATGTGATTCCATTTATAAGAAATGTCCAGAATTGGCAAATCTATAGACAGAAAGTAAATTGGTGGTTGCCCAGAGCTGGGAAACATGGGCAGGTTGGAGGTGACATTAAGGGATGTGGCATTTCTTTTTTGGGATGATGAAAATGTTCTAAACTGACTGTGGTGATGGTTGCACAACTCTGTGAATATACGAAAAGCCATTATAAACTTTAAATGAGTAAATTGTATCGTATGTGAATCAGATCTCAATAAAGCTGTTTTAGTAAATCTTAATTAAGTCTATAATTAATCTTGTGTGCATTCAGCTTTTAAGCTTTTGACTGTCCAAATGGAAAGCAGCACTACAAGAGAAATGTGCGATATTTAATATACCATAAACATATATCTAACACAAAAGGTAATTCACTAGTCAATAACCAGTATTTAAATATTGATCTAGACAGCGGTTCTCAACCTGTGGGTTGCGAACAATGAAAATACATCATTGCCGAAACCGGTCTGGCTCAGTGGATAGAGCGTCGGCCTGCGGACTGAAAGGCCCCAGGTTCGATTCCGGTCAAGGGCATGTACCTGGGTTGCGGGCACATCCCCAGTGGGAGATGTGCAGGACTCTCCCTTCCTCTCTGTAAAAAATCAATAAAATATATTTAAAAAAAGAAAATACATCCTGCATATCAGATATCTACATTACGATTCATAACAGTAGCAAAATTACAGTTATGAAGTAGCAATGAAAATAATTTTATGGTTGGGGGTCACCACAACATGAGGAACTGTATTAAAGGGTCGCGGCACTAGGAAGGTTGAGAATCACGGGTATAGAATTAACAAAGACAAAGAGAATAAATTATTGGAAAGGAGAGGTTGTGCACATCCCCACATTCCTATTTTGGGAACCTTCAGAAAGTTTTCAAAGCAGAAAATAAGGTCAACCTGAAATCATGATCCACAGATGTCTCGGCAAGTTCAACAAGCCCCCAAAATAAAAAAGTGTTCCTAAGATCTCTACTAGACTTACTCGTCAAATGACACAAAAAATCAACTCAACATTTTATACTCACCCTTCCTTCAGTATCAATCATTATTTCTGACATCTTAAAAGTGACTTTTGGATTTGCTGTGCCTTTAGAAAAAGACATAAATGAATAGTTATGTATATCCAAAATTATTGAAATTTTGCCAGCTCAATCCACTTTACCCTTTAGTTAAGTCAGAATATTACAGAGTCACAGCTTTATTGGATAAGAATCTGAGAACTCCATTGCAAACTCATAGCTTTGAATAAGGGTATTAAAAAAAAAAAAAAAAGCTGCCTGCCCTAGCTGGTTTGACTCAGTGGGTTCAATTCCAGGTGCGTGCGGGAGGCAGCCAATTAATGTGTCTCTCACACTGATGTTTCTCTCTCTGTCTCTTCCCCTCCCTTCCACTCTCTCTAAAAAGCAATGGAAAAATATCCTTGGGTGAGGATTAACAAGAAAAAAAAAAAAAGAAAGAAAGAAAGAAAGAAACTGCCTGGTCTGGTAGCTCAGTTGGTTAGAGTGTTGTCCTGATACAACAAGGTTGGGGGTTCGATCCCCAGTCAGGGCATATACAAGAATCAACCAATGAATGCATAAATAAGTGGAACAACAAATCAATGTTTCTCTCTCCCTCTCTCCCTTCTTCTGTCTCTAAAATCAATTTAAGTAATAATAAAATAAGTAAATAAACAATAAAAAAGAGGCTGAAAAATATCAAATTAGTATGAAATAAAGGGAAATTTTGTATCATTTTGAAATGCTGTAATCAGCAAAATGGGGGAAAATTACAAATTTATTAAGAACTTAACCCCTTGAAAATCTTTATTTTCTAACAAAGACATCTTTTTTATTCATTCCTTGAAATAACCAGTTTTGTGCACTTCTCCACCTTGGAAAATAATTAAAATGGATCATCCTGTAATTTAAAAATCTACTTCAGTGACATTTAACCACCAATCCTTACTAAGGCTGTAAAATAACCAATGTTGACCATAAATTTGGATGATTGCAGATTTTTGTTTGGAATGTAGAAATGAGTAAATATAAATGTCAAAGGAATATAGTACCTGTTTTAGGATAACGAAATGAATCTGCCCTTCTTGTTTCCAACATAGGGGATGTAACATGAATAATTTCCACCTCAGATTCATCATTTTCTTCATACAAAATTCTAAGAATTTTGCTGCCACTGGGAGCTTAAAAGGAATTTAAATATTGAAAATTTAGAATTATTCCAGAAAGTAATCATAACTTACTATTCCTTCTAGTATTATATTTTCCAAGTGAAAAATAATTTTTATATAAAATATACTACTTTTTGTGTATGAAAATATCACCCATCTTTTGCAGTAGCAAGGTGAGTTACTACTAAGCCATTTTTACTGGTTAACAACCGTTAACCCCTTTTGGAGGGAAAAAACTGAAGATAATTATGTATATGTACATAATTACAACAGGGAAATACATGTGAAGGATTTTGGTCTTTGCATACATTAACATGCATTCCTTATTGAAAAATGAATTATATATAATTACAATTGTAATACTTCCTATAATGAAACAAATGCTATTTAAATAGAGCCCATTGTTTTTGATGGTTTCCCTAATTCATGTCAAAATCTTGCTCTAACATAGCATTATAGCAAAACATTTTACATGTTAAAATGTACAAATCTAAGACATGGCTTAAAAATAAGTTGTTTTCATGATCCCTTGGAGAAGTGTTCAGATGCTAGCCATAACCCATTAGTGAGTCATGAAATCTCTTAATGGCTCATAACCAGCATTTTACAAATACAACAAAAATAACATACATGAGCATGTTACACTTAAATACTGCTTCATGAAATTTATTTTCTAATCTTATACCCACAGAACATTGTACAATGTATTAGGTCAGAATGTAAAAGCAAACTTCTCACTGGGTCAGGGTCAGTCACTGCTTTAGAAAGCTGTTTCTCAGGCAGTAAAATAGTTGTAAATTCACTAAGAAAAAAAGAGGAATTTGTGCCCTTTTTTCTGATCCATTAATACACTAATTGGGGTGTCTGTTCATACAGATGCTCTAATCAATACCAAGACCAGCTCCTAGATGAAAAATTGGCAAGGGGAATTGAATGACCTAAACCAATAAACCACAATATAATTGTTTTTTATTAGAATTCATTATGGTGGAATATAGCCTATACACTGAGTGGCCAGATTATTATGACCACCCCATCAGTACTTCGTTGGGCCACCTTTTGCCTTCAAAACTGTAGCGATTCTTCTTGGCATTGACTCCACGAGATGTTGAAAGGTGATGTGAGGAATCTGACACCATGCCTGATGAATAGCACTGTCCAGTTCTGTGAGATTTGATGGTTGTGGAACCAGCTGCCTGATGGCTCTTTTAACTTCGTCCCACAAATGCTCAATTGGATTGCGATCTTGTGATTGTGGGGGCCACCTAAGCAAGGTAAAGTCTCCCTCACGTTCTTGAAACCACTCCTGCACAATACAAGCACCGTGGCATGGCGCATTGTCTTGTTGGAAGAAGCCATCTCCATTGGGATACGCCATCAACATGATAGGATGAACTTGATCAGCCATGATAATTAGGTATGTTGTGCTATTCAGATGTTCCATACGAATTAAAGGGCCCAAATCATGCCAGGAAAACATGCCCCAAACCATAACACTGCCCCCACCAGCTTGAAGGGTTGTACTCATGCATGTGGGGTGCATGCTTTCATGCTGTTTCCACCAAATTCTCACTTTGCCATCTGCATGATGCAACTGGAAACGTGATTCATCGGACCACATGACTTTTTTCTAATGCTCGACTGTCCAATCCTTGTGTTCCTGTGCAAATTGGAGACTTTTATCTTGGTAACTGCAGACAGCAAAGGTGTTCGAACAGGCCTTCGGCTTCCATATCCCATACGATGCAGTGTACGGCTAATTTGCCTACAAACATCAGGTGGTCATAATAATCTGGCCACACAGTGTGTGTGTGTGTATCCCACATTCAAAAGCTGTTAAATCGCATTGTTTACCCATATCTTCAGAAAAAAATCACTTCTACTGTCGTGGTAAACAACCTGCTTCCCTATTTATAATGGTCTGGCCCTCTAGCAACTTCAGTGCGAAATTATAGCTAATTTGTCTACAAACATCAGATGGTCATAATAATCGGGCTACTCAGTGTATATTGCATCATATATTGATGTGTATTACACTGAACATACAAACACATCAATATGAGGGGGTAAACACTGTAGCCTTTGCATTCTCTATAATCTCTACAGAGAGATACTAAACGGCAAAATCTTGGTATTGTGATGTACAGAAATGGAAAAGAGTATTAAACCATATTTAAGAATAATAAACAGCCCTAACCGGTTTGGCTCAGTGGATAGAGCGTCAGCCTGTGGACTGAAGGGTCCCAGGTTCGATTCCGGTCAAGGGCATGTACCTGGGTTGCGGCACATCCCCAGTGGGGAGTGTGCAGGAGGCAGCTGAATCGATGTTACTCTCTCATCGATGTTTCTAACTCTCTATCCCTCTCCCTTCCTCTCTGTAAAAAAATCATTAAAATATATTTTTAAAAAAAGAATAATAAACAAACAAACAAACAAATACTAGTAGAATCCAATCTTCATCACTTCAGAATCTACTAATCAAGATTTAGAATCTGTACACTTAAGTAATTGGTAGTTGAACCTCATACTTTAATTGACCTATATTATTTTGAACCCCCTTACTTGTTTCAGCTTCTGGACACCACCAATAGCCAGAATATCTATCAAATTCTTCTTGAAGAACAAAGGTAGCAACTCCAGCTGATCTGGGATCCTCTTCCATGTTGGCTAGCTCTAGACAAACATAAAAGGCAAAATTATCACAGGAAATTCTCTACCTTTTCATAGGTATAAAGCAGAATGATTCAGTTTATTTTGAAAGGCAGCAGTAGTATAGAGGTGAACTCTGGAGCCAAAGAGACTGAATTCAAATCATTTACTGTCTGACCTTGGGCAAATCACCCAATCTCATTCCACTGAAGTATTCCATTTGTCAACGGAAATAAGAATCTACCTTTCAAGGTTGTTATGAAGATCAAATGAATTAATTCACATAAAGCACTTAGAACAAAGCCTAAACCATAATTTGTGCTCCATAAATGTTATTTTCCAATTTAGCTGGAATCATGGAAAAAAAGAACACTGCAAAAGATCATGTTAACTTGTAACTCTCCTATACAGAGAAGCTTATTTTTAGACCAAGAATGGGTCTTACAGATCAGGTAATTCATGATTCCCCCTCCCTTCCCTCCCTGCTCTTCAACCAGAGCAGCTCAGCTTTTATCTATTTTACACTTAAAGTTTCCTGTAAATAGTTAGAAGGGAACTTGTGCTTTAAAAACAAAAATGATCAAAACACAAAGCCTTAATTATGTAAGATTTCATGACATGGGGAAATGCTTACAATACCCTTGAATTTAAAAAAAGCATATTACTGAATAGCATGTATACTGTGATTCCGTTTATCAAAATGTTAAACATATATGTAAAAAGGTATTGGGCCGGGCTGGTGTGGCTCAGTGGTTGAGCATCAACCTATGAACCAGGAGGTCACAGTTCGATTCCTGGTCAGGGCACATGCCTGGGTTGTGGGCTCGGTCCCCAGTGTGGGGCCTTCAGGTGGCAGCCACTCGATGATTCTCTCTCATCATTGATGTTTCTATCTCTCGCTCCCTCTCCCTTCCTCTCTGAAGTGAATAAAAATATATTTTTTAAAAATGTATTGGGATGTAAACCAAAATGTGGTTTTCTCCATATAGTGAGACTATGGACAAGCTTTTAAAAAAATGCTTTATAATTTATAAAACCTTAAGCGTACCTTTTGTTTTTGAAAAATGCATACACTTGTATAACAACATCCTATCAAGACACAGAATAATTCCAATACTCGAGAATGTTTTCTCATGCCCCTTCCCAGTCAGTGTCCATTCCTGCCCAGAAGGAACTGTTGATCTGATTTCTATCATCATAAGTTAGTTCTGCATAATCTAGAGTACCATATAAGTGAAATCATACAGGGGAGTAGGGGTGGGAGATTTAGGAAAAAAAGAGAGAACTCATAGACATGGACAACAGTATGGTGATGGCAGGGGTTAAAGGGAATGGATGGAGATGGAAGAGGGCACAGAAGGGGTAAATGGTGATGGAAAAAATAAAACTAATTTACCCTAAATAATAAAAGGCTTATATGAAAATTGACCAAAAGGCAGAACGACCGGTCACTATGACGTGCACTGACCACCAGGGGGCAGACGCTCAACATAGGAGCTGCCCCCTGGTGGTCAGTGCGCTCCCACAGGGGGAGCGTCACTCAGTCAGAAGCCGGGCTCACGGCTGGCAAGCACAATGGCAGTGGTGGGAGCCTCTCCCGCCTCCACAACAGCATTAAGGATGTCCTACTGCCAGCTTAGGCCCACTCCCTAAGCCATCAGTCAGACATCCCCCAAGGCTCCCAGACTGCGAGAGGGCACAGGCCAGGCTGAGGGATCTCCCCTCCAAGTGCATGATTTTTGTGCACTGGGCCTCTAGTATTTAAAAATAAATCATATAGTACCTATTTGTGTCTGTCTGTTTTTGAAATTCATCAATGTTGTTGCATCAACATTACGTTGTATCAATGTATCGATAATTCCTTCCTGTTTATTGCTGAATAATATTCCATTGTATACCACAGTTCTTTTATACATTTATCTCTTAATGGACATCTGGGCTGCTTCCAATTTTTGAGTATTATGAAGAAAGATGCTGTGACCATTCTTTTTTTCTTTTTAATATTTTTAAAAATTGATTCCAGAGAGGAAGATCGAGAGATAGAAACATCAATGATGAGAGAGAATCATTGATTGACTGTCTTCTATACACGCCCTACTGGGGATTGAGCCTACAACCTGGGCAAGTGCCTTGACTGTCCCAACCGGAAATCAAACTATGACCTCCTGGTTCATAGGTCCACACTCTACCACTGAGCCACACTGGTCAGACGCACTGTGATCATTTTTGTATAAGAATCTTTGAAGCTCTTTGAGGAAGATGTGGTCGCAGCTGCAGCAGAGCTCTGTTTCACCCGCTCCTGGTTCTGATTCGCTGTTGTTCGCTCTTGCAGAGGAACAAGTGGGTCAGGAAGCAGACCCACAGCCATGGCTTTTAAAGATACAAGAAATACACCCATGGAACCAGAGGTGGCAATCCACTAAATTAAAATTACTCTAACCAGCCACAACACAAAATCTTTGGAGAACGTGTGTGCTAACTTGATCAAAGGTTGCCAATGAAAAGAATCACAAAGCGCAAGGATCAGTTCGGATGCCTACCAAGACTCTAAGTATCATTAGAAAAACTCCCTGTGGGGAAGGTTCTTAGACTTGGAATAGTTTTCAGATGAGGATCCATAAGCGACTCATTGACTTGTACAGTCCTTCTGAGGTTGTTAAGATTATTTCTATCAGTATTAAGCCGGAAGGGGGAGGGAGAGGGGGAGGGAATACAATAACTAGTACATAATGAGTGCTCAAAGTTTATTGAAGCATAAAATAATTGCCAGGCTTTCCAACCTAGATTCACTAATTACTAACCTAACCTTTCTACTGCCATTGGTAGCTGTTCTGATTCCATGATTACAAATGGAGACCCATTAAACACCAAAAAATGTGCTTTTTACCTTAAAAGTTTCCCTATTCCACACTCTTTTCTCTATCCTGTGCTCCAGTTTTAGGCCATAAAACTTGAATAATTGCAACAGTCAAGCTTTGGTATCCCTGCCTCTAGTCTTGTGCTTCTCAAATATAACTTCCAAAAGTACCTGAAACAATTTATCTACAATATAATTCTGACCATACCACTCAATTGCTAGAACTTTTCAATGGACTGCCACATCATAATAAAGACCATGTTCATTTACATGACATACAGCCTACCCTTGTCGTGGCTTTTTTTTTTTAAAGTATATTTTATTTATTTTAGAGAGGAAGGGAGAGATAGAAACATCAATGATGAGAAAGAATCATTAATTGGCTGCCTCCTGCACGCCCCCTACTGGGGATTGAGCCCGCAACCCAGGCATGTGCCCTTGGCCGGAATCGAACCTACTCTTCAGTCTGAAGGCCGACCGACGCTCCATCCATTGAGCCAAACCAGCTAGAGCAGTGATGGCTCTGACAGGTGAACTCATTTTTTTGGTTGATTTTTCTTTGTTAAATGGCATTTAAATATATAAAATAAATATCAAAAATATAAATCTTTGTTTTACTATGGTTGCAAATATCAAAAAATTTCTGTATGTGACACGGCACCAGAGTTAAGTTAGGGTTTTTCAAAATGCTGACACACCGAGCTCAAAAGGTTCGCCATCACTGAGCTAGGGCCTGGCTTTTCTTATCTGCCAGTTTTATCTATCCCCACTCATACCCCTTGCTTTAGGATCATAACTGCTTCTAACTCCTTGCACATACCACAGTACTGCATCAAGACCTTTCTCACACAGTCCCTTCACTTGAAGTGTACTGGCTACTGTACTGTACAATTATACAACATTAGTTCCTGCCACACTGTCTGGTACACAAGAACTTAATGTATTTTTGTTGACTGACTAATAGAACAGATTTCTTGACTCCTAATTCAGTGGTCTTTCTATCAATGTAAATTGTTCAGGAAAAGGCTTCTTCTATAATATTGATTATCCTAATGAAGAAAAAGTGTTTGCTGTCAATACACTACTATATTCTAAAATAACTTATTAAAGAATATGCCTAATAAATGAACTTTGTGAACATTAGATTAAGAAAAAGTTGGACAAATGAATTTTCAAAGTGACCATTCTTCATTATGGAGTTTATTCTTAAGCTGTTTCACAAGTTCAAAGAAAACAGTATTTCCCATCTTTCATTTGTATGAAAGCTTTAGAGGAAAACATCCACATCTTTTCTGTACTTTGAGTACTGCATACTATTATTATAGTCACTTCAATAAAAATTAAGTATCTCCACAAACACACAGGTACACAAAGTTCTGTTTTTCCTATTATGACAAAATAACTAAGTAGACTCTCCAAGAAGGGGAGACAAATATTCAGGTAGTTCTTACAGTATTAATTTTTCCTGTTTGTTTCCCAAAGACAGGATTAATTTTTTAAATTAAAATTTTAAGAAGAACAGTTTGGGAAATTCTCGCAGTCTCATTTGGCTAAAAGAACAATCACGTCAAGGGTGCTACTGTTGTGCTGTCTGGAAATGAACATTAAAACACAAGGCAACATAGCCGAGCCTATGTGGCTCAGCAGTTGTGTGACGACCCATGAACCAGGAGGTGACGGTTCGATTCCCAGTTAGGGCACATGCCTGGGTTGCGGGTTCCCCAGTAGGGGGCTGTAGGAGGCAGAGGATCAGTGATTCTCTCTCATCATTGATGTTTCTATCTCTCTCCTTTTCCCTTCCTCTCTGAAATCAATAAAAACATAAAACACACACACACACAAAAAAAGGCAGCATTAAACAGGTGATACATACCACTTATCCTCTGCATGTTTTTCTTTTTTAATTTTAAAGATTTGAATTTAAAATACAAAGATCACCTAGTTTACTTCATTTTCAAAACAAAAGCAAATTACATTTTAAAAAACTTTTCAGAAAAGTGGATTTGAAGAACTATCATTACCATTGTGCACATAGGTTAGCCTCCTTTCTTCTCTGGTTACAATGTTGGATATCCAAATATCATTGCTATGTATAAATGCAATCCAGTCTGGATCAGCTGGGCATAATTTTGGATCCATCCTAATGTTGGGACAACTAGTCTCCACTAAATTGGGCCGTAAGGGTTGTTGCTAGAAAAGTAAACAACATTTTAAGGAAAGTGTCAGGTTGATACATACATACTTGTTTGCCAGCACCCTTCCTATAAAATGAACAATAATTCCAAGTAAAATGTCAACTATGACAATTGCTCCCCAGAAAAATATATTTCATATGCCTTAACTTATTAGGAAGGACTCATTTTTTTAAAAAACTATGAATTAGAAAGCCAAGGGTAATAGGAACTTCATAAATTTTATTATCCAAATCTGTTTAATAGGATAGTTGTTATTTATAAATAACTTATTTTTTTACTTATTAAACATTTCAAATTAATTTTAACAGTATAGTTTGCTCATAGAAAAATGTAATGAAAGTCAGAATCATCACAATTCTATCAAAAGAACAGTTCTACTAGCACATAAAAAATTGCGTGGAATAAAACCAAACATTTAAAACCATTTATTAAGATGAATTAAGCTTATAAGGGAACCAAAATAGATTGCTTTGTGATATTTTCCTCCCAACCCCACTCCTCAGCACTTACTCAGAAAGTGGGCACTGATGTCCTTTACTATATCCTCCTAATAATATAGCAAGTGGTTTTAGCATTTTAAAAATTTATATTAATGTCACTAGAAAAATTATTAACTCCTAAAATTAAAAATTAATACTCAAGTTTGTTTTCTTTACCACTAAATTTTTTAGTTAATGGGTAAACAGAATATTTTGGTTTAATTACCTTTCTGATTTGGGTGCAAATAACTATTAGGGCCCCAAAATACATTTAATAAGTAGCAACAGCAACTTACAGTAAATCCTTGTGGCCCTCCATCTTTTACGTGATATATTCCACTACCAGCTTGAAAGAGAAATGTTCCACTTCCTTGGTGATAATCATAAGAAGCAATTCCAACTGTTCCAATGCGTTTTCTTTCTCTTAATAGTTCTTCTTCTCGAGAATACATTCCATAGTCCAGTGTTGCCTAATGCAAAAGAAAAGAGAAATCACCTATTCAGTCTTCTGAAAGCTTGCTTTTTGCTTTTAGAACTGAAATTCTTGCATCTCCAATATTACTGAGTCTACATTTTGAGTGACCCCAAAATTTGCCAGCAACTTTAAGCAGAGTAATTTGAGGAAGTCTGCTGAAAGATTTCTTGGTAAAAGGTCTTTAGATGATTGTTATATATGTTAAAGAATGAGAGTTACATCTCATCACTTTGGCTTGGCATTCAAGATCTTCTACATCACCGAAATGTAACTTAGTGATTTTACATGCAGTTAAGAGCACAGACTTTGAAGTCAAGTTGTTTGAATCTAGGCTTTGACCCTCATTAGAAGCCTGACTTTGAGCAAGCAGCTTAATTTCTTCAAAAAGTAATTTTCCTCACTTTCAAAATAGTAATAAATCATCTACTTATGCTTTGTGAAAATTAACTGAGATAAAATTATGTAAAGTGTTTAGCACAATGACTGGCCCAGAGTAAGTTCTCAATATCAGCTGTCATTAGTACCTTTCCACTACATCTACTAATAATCCTACCCTATATAATAAAAGGCTAATATGCAAATAGACCGAACGGCAGAATGACCAGTCACTATGACGTGCACTAACCACCAGGGGGCAGACGCTCAATGCAGGAGCTGTCCCCTGGTCAGTGCGCTCCCACAGGGGGAGTGCCGCTCAGCCAGAAGCCCTGAGCTGGGTTCACGGCTGGCAAGCGCAGCGGTGGTGGCGGGAGCCTCTCCCGCCTCTGCAGCAGTGCTAAGGATGTCCAATTGACAGCTTAGGCCTGCTCCCCGCAGGGGAGCCCTCAGTAAAACCTAACATGTGATGTTTTGCTTCCTGGCCTTTGTCCCTGCCATTTCCCCCCCTTGAAAGGGTATTTTTCTTTCTACCCACCCAAGTTCTAACGATACCCCAAAACCTTGGCTCTAATTCAACCTTGGCCAGGAAAGCTTCCTGATGCATTACGGTGTATAGTGGTGATCTCTTCTTTGAAATTTATGTAAGAGTTACTGTCTCTTTTACTCATTTGGCTATGGTTTGGTTTTTCACTTTTTTCAGTATTTCTGAGTAGAAATAAGTTTTAAAAAGCATAAAAAACTTGAGAGCACAATCTGTCATTTTGTTTTCCAACCTATAGTATCTATTAAAATCTTTCAAAAGAATATTTGTAATTAATGACTGATGATGATGAGTTTTCCCAAGCTAGAAATATCATTTGACACATATATAAAGTACAAAAAGAAATATAAGGAAAACAAATCTAATAAGTGCTAACTTCAAAAAATTGCATCTCATACATTTGCTCACTCACTAAGAGCTCTTCACACTTTGAGTTTGATAAAAGAAAACAGACATGGTTTCTGCTATCTATATATATATCTATATCTATATCTATATATATCTATATCTATATCTATATATATATATAAAAGCCCATCGAGCGGAATGGCAGAATGACCGGTCGCTATAACATGCACTGTGGCGGCCAACCAGCCTGATCTGGGCCCCCGATCGGCCCCTCCTCAATCTTCCATAGCCCCTCCCCCAGGCCAGCCCCGCCCCCAATCGCCCCCACCCCCCACCCCAATCAGGGGCAGGGCTGGCCAGCCAACTGCCCTCGGCCCATCCTCCTGGCCGGCCCCGCCAACAGCCCTGCCCCTGATCGCCCCACCCCCACCCCGATCAGGGACGGGGCCTGCTGGCCAACCACCCACAGCCCCTCCCTCCCCATCTGCCCCCATAGGGGCGGGCTGGCTGGACCCCATCCATGCACGAATTCGTGCACTGGGCCTCTACTCAAGGAATAATACTTTAAAAAGAGGTCTAGCCCTTGCCCATGTGTCTAAGTGTTAGAGAGTTAGCCCCTGCACTGAGGGCTTGCAGGTTCAATTCCAGGGCACATACCTGGATTGCAGGTTTGATCCCTGGCCCTGGTCAGGGTGCATGTAGGAGGCAACCAGTCAATGTATCTCTATCACATCGATATCTGTCCCTATCTCTGTCTCTCTCCTTCTAATCCTCCCTCCCTCCCTTTAATTCTCTCTAAATTTATCCCATGAGGATTAACAACAACACCAAAAGAAAACTAGACAAGTTTGCAGGCATGTACCACTCCAAAATTAAGCCAGCACACTGAAAGTAAACATTGTTTTCAAAAATGGCAAGTACAGATACGTACTTGCAAACCCAAAATAATGTTAGGTGAGGTTGAAAAAAAGACAACCTTGGAATCCTGGTAAAAACTCACATAGTTTGTTTTTTTATTCATTGTATCGTATCGCTTTTTTATTAATGTGTAATTGTATTTGTATACATTTGTATGTGTGTGTTAGGCTCCAACAGAAAAAAACTCACAAATTCTATGAACATATAATTTTATTGATTCTAACCTTTTGTTTTAAATACTTCTTAAGACTTTCCATAAAAGCCAAGAGCAATTCTGACTATATATTTTAATTTCTCCCCTCTTATTCTCCTTGACAGTCACCAGACTTGATCTCTGCTTAATATGTCTTAATGCTTAGTAATCAGAACATAAGAAATTTCAGAGCTAAGAAATTAACTTTCACAAGAGAACTATATTTATAACTTTGTGATTATAAAATTTGTTATTTGAAAGAATAACAAGCAAGATGATAAAAAAGAACCCTGAAAAAGATTATGAGAAAAAAAAGGTTAGCCTTAACCAGATATTAAAAATTAAAACATGAATAAACAGAATGAACAATGTTAGAGAACAAAAAAAATCCAAAACGGACAACTGATATTTTAAATCAGTTGGAATTACTGCATAATCATATACAAAAAGATAACACTGGGCCCTAGCTGGTTTGACTTAGTGGATAAGAACGTCAGCCTACGGATTGAAGGGTCCCAGGTTCAATTCCCATCAAGGGCACATGCCTGGGTTGCGGGCTCGATCCCCAGTAGAGGGCATGCAGGAGGCAGCCAATCAATGATCCTCTCTCATCGATGTTTCTATCTCTCTTCCCTTTCCCTTCCTCTCTAAAATCAATAACAATATATTTTTAAAAAGAAAGATAATACTGGATCTACTTTTCACATATTCCAAATGGGTTAGAGATTTAAATGTTAAAATGAAACAAACTTTCCACTTCTACCCAAGATGGAGAAACAGGGACCAGATATATCCTCCCTGTTTCTGAAACAACTGAGAAAATGAACAAAATATATGAAGTAACACTGGACATCAGACAACAAAGGACAGTGATCCCTGAGAAATGGGAAACAAATGAGGTAAGCCGTACACCTGAACTGCCTTGACAGTTTTACAGATGTTGGCACAAGAAGGAAGAAGCTAATGGGTCAAAGAAAAAAAAAATCACAAAGGAAATCAGAAAATACTTTGAGACAAAAGAAAATACAATATACCAAAATTTAAGTGATGCAGCAAAAGCAGTTCCAGAGGAAATTTATAACTATAAATACCTACATTAAAAAAGAGATCTCGGGAGAAAAAAGGGGACATATGTAATACTTTCAACAATAAAGAATTATTAAAAAAAAGAGAGAGAGAGCTCAAATTAATAAGCCAACTTTCCACCTAAGACTATAAAAAAAGCAAAGCAAACTAAATCCAAAGCAAGGAGAAACAAGGAAATAATACAAATTAGATTTGAAATAAAACAAAATGGAAAACAGAAAAACAATAAAGCTCAACAAAACCAAAAGTTGGTTCTTTGAAAAGATCAACAAGTTTGACAAATTTACTAGAACAATCAAAAAAACAAAAAGAGAGAAGACTCAATTTACTAAAGTCAAGAATGAAAACGGATCATTATTAACAATCTAATATGGATAAAAAGGATTTTAAGTAAATAGTATCAACAGTTGTATGACAACAAATCAGATAATGTAGATAAAATGGTTAAATTCCTAGAAACAAACAAATCACCAAAACTGATTCAAGAAATAGAAAATCTGAATAGACATAATGAATAAAGATACTGAGTTAATAATAAAAAAACAAACTTCCCACAAAGAAAAATCCAGCACTAGATGGCTTTACTGATAAATCCTACCTAGTGTTTAAGGAAGAATTAAGATGTACCCTAGTCACACTTTCCAATTTCAAAAGTTAGTACAAAGCTACATTAACGAAGACAGCATGGTACTGGCATATAGGTCACTGGAATGGAATTGAGAGTCCAGAAATATATCCAGACATTTATGGTCAACTGACTTTCAACAAGAGTACTAAGTGTATTCCATGGGGGGAAAATAACTTTTCAACAAATGGTATTAAACAAATAAATTTGAACCCCTATCTCACACCATATACAAAAATTAACTCAAAATGGATCCAAGACCAAAATGTAAGAGCTAAAACTATAAAACTCATGTTTCATCATTTACACAGATGAAAATCTGTATAACCTTGGATTAAGCAACAGTTTCTTATATATGACACCAAAAGCACAAGCAATCACAGAAAAAAAAACACAACTGACTGAATTTCATCAAAATGTAAAACTCTGCTGGGCTTCTGAAGCTGGGAGGATGAATATGGGGGTGGCATACATCTAAGTAAACCCCAGCCCTCGAGTGATGAATAACCAAGGCATCTGGCTGGCCTACATCATATTGGTAGGACTGCTGCATGTGGTTCTACTCAGCATCCTCTTCTTCAGTATTCCTGTTGTCTGGACCTTGTCCAACATCATCCATAATTTGTCTATGTATGTCTTCTAACATAGGGAGAAAGGTACACACATTGAGATCCCTGACCAAAGAAAGTCTTGACTACTGACACACTGGTAACAGATGGACTATGGACTCCAGTTTACCTCTTCCTTCAATAAAGGGAAGTCTAAAAATATTTTATCCTCCATAAAAGAGAGTTCAAAGTAACTATATTTAAATGTATAGATCCAAATTAACGATTATAGTACTAAACACTTGCCAAAGGTAATTGTAGCTGATTTTATACTCATAATTACTACAATTAAAGACAAAAGTAAAAAGAAAACTCACAGAATGGGAGAAAATATTTGCAAATCACATCTGGTAAGGGTCTAGTATCCAGAATAAAGAAAAAAAAACTCTTACAATTCAACATTAAAAAGACCCAATTAAAAATGGGCAAAGGACTTACACAGGCTACTACCCATTCTTAAGATGGTCTTTGGACTAATAAGCTAGCCTCATGAAAAAATGCCCAACATCACTGATCATTAGGAAAAGGCAAAGCAAACAACAATGAGATAGACTTCACACCTTCTAGGATGGCTACAGTGAAAATGATGAATAACAAGGATCGGCGAGAATGTAGGAAATCAGAACCTTCATATATGACTGGTGGGAATGTAAAATGGTGTAGCTGCTATAGAAAGCAATTTAGTAGCTCCTTAAAATTTTAAATACAGAGTTACCACACGACCCAGCAATTTAACTCCTAGGTATATAACGAAGGGAATTGAAAACAGATCTACACAAAATCTTTTGGGGATGACAAAAAGTTCTAAATTTAGATTTTGGTGATAGTTGCACAACTCTGTGAGTACACTAAAAACTACTGAACTGTATACTTTGAGTGAATTGGATAGTATGTGAATTATATCTCAATAAAGCCAGTTAAAAAAGGAAAAGAATGGAAAAGCATATTCCATGCTAACATTAATCAAAGGAAAGCTGGAGTGGCTGTATCAAAGTAAATTTCACGGTAAAGATTATTGCTAGAAACAAAGAAAGTCATTCCATAACAATAAAGAAGTCGATTTATCAGGACATAACAATCCTAGCCACTGATGTACCTAATAACATAGCTTCTAAAAAATAAAGCAAAAACAAACAGAACTACAAGGAGAAATTGCCAAATCTACAATTACGGTTGGAGGTTTCTACACCCTCTTTCAATAATTGATAGAACAAATAAAAAATCAGTAAGAAAATAGAAGACTTAAACAATACAATAAACCAATTTGATCTAATAATCATTTATAGACCCAACAATAGCAGAACACATTCTTTTCAAGTGAACACAGAACATTTACCAGGATGAACCATATTCTGGGCCATAAAATAAGACTCAATAAATTGGAAAAGATTCACGTAATCAAAGTATGTCTCTGATTCACATCTGCTTCAAATACAAAACCCCAACTGAATTTCTGTCTCTAAATAAATGCTGACAACATACTCCAAATCACAGGAATAACAATGTCTAATCCTACCTGAAAAAGATCCAAAAGAGGCTTCCAAGACAACATTAAGATTGCAGCTTTGTTGATGTTTTTGGGAATTTCAGAATAAAACAGTGTATTTTCTCTGTTCTCACCAGACATAGCTATAAGAGAAAACAATCTTTTTAAAAATCACTTTTAAAAATAGCCATCAACCGCAATCACAGTAATAAGTACATAATGCCTTCTATATCTGCAAATTTTTATACTCTGTAGATCTATAATAAATGTTAACAAGTAGGAGATACATATGCCATATGCCATGGAAATTCATTTCAATAAAACTTGGGCTTCACAGAAAAATTCTCAAGTTTCATTCTGATATCAGATCTTATTCTCTCTCAAAACAAACAAAAGTGTAAGATGATACAGGGACAAGTGTCATTTTTAGTTTTTGTTTCATTTTTAGGTGTTTTTTTAGTGTGTGTGTGTGTGTGTGTTTTAATTGATTTCAAAGAGTGGAAGGAAGAGGGAGAGATAGAAACATCAATGATGAGAGAGACTCACTGATCGGCAGCCTCCTGCATGCTCCCTACTGGGAATCGAGCCCAGCAGCCAGGCGTGTGCCCTGACCGGGACACTTCCTGGTTCATGGGTTGACGATGCTCAACCACTGAACCGCAATGACCAGGCAGGTTGTTTTTTTTTTAATTGTTAGCCTCTTACAAGTTGGCAACAGACTCATGAGATTCCAAATGAGCGTGCTTTGTGACAACTTCAGATTACTAAAATGTCTTATTTTTCTGAACCACTAAAGTGCTTATTTAGAAATATATATAGGTCTAACTGAATTCTAGTTTTTCTTCATTATAAATGTTCTATAACTGTAATCACTAAGTTTCAATGAAAATATACTTATATTAAAACAACACAGAATCTGATATCTGATTTGCTAAAAATCTTTTTCCTTTATTGGGTAAAGGTAAAGGAAAGAGGTCTATATTAAGTAGAAGCCACATCTATTCTGGGAAATCATGCAATAATTGAATGGAAAGACCACAGTAGTATAGAATGAGCTACATACAAAAGAGAATGGAAATACACTTTGATTTTGAAGATGTGAACCAAAGAAAACTCAAAGAAAAACAAAGCCCTTCTACCCTAAAAGGTATTATTAGTAAGGTATCATTTCCAAAAAGGGTAGGAGTGAAGGAAGTTGAAAATAAATCTTATAGTTAGAACAAGAAACTTGCTCTTGAGTGGAACAGAGTCTCAGCCTAGTGTTTCTGATAATGGCAGCGAAGACAGCCTGTGGAAGGCCACGGTAACTTCCGCACCAACCCTCGCAAAGGTTGGAGATGAGCCCTGAAATATCCACATCATCCTTTATCCCTTATTTTCCTAAACCTTTCTTCGTTTGTGTTGTCTTTTGGAGTAGAAAGTTAAATATTAGGTGACATTTACTTCAGCACTTACTTTTATCTTAAATCTATTTTGTATATTCGAGTTACTGTTATAGAATTCTTAAGACTGCAGTCACCTATCCACACCATTCATAATTTCACTAAACGTGATCATTTCCTCTTACGCCCTCTCCTTTCAAGAGCCTTCAGCCCTCAAATATGAAAAAATTGGCTCTCAGCTATCCTCAAATGAGGGCCATTCCCCATAATCGTTTCAGCTGCCCCTCTGGAAACTGTTTTCCTTGGCTTCATCCATGACCAGAACAAATCTTCAAAGCATGGTGCCAGGGAGCACTAAACTTGTGTGGGGGAATCATTTCATAAGTTATGTAAATGTCTGACCGCTATGCTGTAATACCTGAAACTAATATATTATTGAATGGCAACTGTAACTGAAATTTATTTTTTAAATTTCCAAGGCATTCTATGTACACATATACCAGTTCTGTGTAAGCACAAAATGAGCTTCCCCATTGTTTCTTTCCTGATGACACACTGGTAGTAATTGGTGTTTGAAGTATATTAAACATTTTTAAACAATGGATTTTTATTTAGAAAAAAATTTTTGGGACATCCTATAAAATGAAACTCTGGAATTGTTAAAGAAATAAAGAACGAATCTATAATTATCGATATGGACTCCTGCAGAAAATATCTCTTAAAATACACACAAACACACACACACATACACACAGGCCAGTGTAGCTAAGTGGTTAGAGCAACAGCACATAGACCAAAGGGTCTCAGGTTTGATTCCCTGTCAAGGGTATGTACCTGGTTTGCAGATTCCATCCCCAGCCCAGTCAGGTGTGTACGGAAGGCAACCAATTGATGTGTCTCTCTCACATCAATGTCTCTATCACTCTCTCTCCTCCTCGCTCCTTCCTTTTTCTCTCTCTCTAAAATCAATAAAAAATATCCTCAGATGAGGATTAACAACAACAACAACAACAAAAAAACACACACACACAAATGGGGAGGAAAGTCTAATGAACAAAATAAACTGATGAACAAAATAGATCTAGAGATATAGAATCACAGAACAGACTGCAGAACCCCAGAAGGAAGGCAGGGGAGGGTGGGTGGGTGGGAAGTGATCAACCAAAGAACTTGTGTGTGTTTGTGTGTGTATGTATGTGTGTATATATATATATGCATAACCCATGGACACAGACAATATCGTGAAGAAGGCCTGGGGCGGGGAGGTGGGCTAGAAGGGGTCAATGGGGGTAAAAAGGGGACATATGCAATACTTTCAACAATAAAGATTTAAAGATTTTTAAAAAGAGCACATATGTACACATGCTTAAACAATAAATAAATCCATATTTAATTAGTAATAAATTAATCAGTGGTATAATATACTTAATTTAGACAAACCTTAAATCTGGAGTGAATAGGGAAGAAGAGACCAAAACCAGCCTTGGTTTAAAAAAAAAAAAATGACAGCAGCAGCTACTGAGAGTGGGAACAAACGAATGGTTTTACTGTTTATATTCCTAATCTGACCATTACTAAAGAAAGGCATTTTGATCTAGCTTTAGAAAGAATTAATTTCTGGCATCTTTAACTTTGACTTTGAAAATAAGATCATAATCAATCATGATTTGTCACCTGAAGGTAAAATAAAGTTAATGGGACAAACCAAGACTTCAAAGAAGCTTGTTGTTGTTGTTAATCCTCAAACAAGGATATGTTTTCCATTGATTTTTAGAGAGTGGAAGGGAGGAGGAGAAACATCAATGTGAGAGAGAGGTATTGATTGGTTGCCTCCTGCACATGCCCCACTGGGGCCAGGAATCAAACCTGCAACCAAGGTATGTGCCCTTGACTTGAATCCAACCTGGGACCCTTCACTCTGTGGGCCAACATTCCAACCACTGAGCCAAACCTGCTAGAGCCAAAGAAGCTCCCCCCACTCCACCCCCACCCCGCCCTTAAATGGAACCATCACTGATGCATTTATTTATTTACCAATTGCATCTAGACTCTAAGTTTGAATTAAGAAAGCATTTCCTCTCAGAAACTGACTTCATACTCACCAAGGTAATAGATCCTGTCTGAATGAGGCCCATCTGGATCATTCCTCTTTACAAACATAAAATCATGTGGTGCCTTAGCCATCATGTAGCCATGATATTTTCTGGTATCAGCAAGCAGCTTTTTAAGCTGACTCCAGGAATACCGCTCCACATAAAACGGCTCCAATTTAGGCTGATCCCCTGATTCAATATTCTCCTCACACTCTGCAGTTTCAAAGATCTCAACACCCAGCTGTTCTGTTTCCATTGCTGCTGCCATGTTGCATTTTCCTAGAAAAACAAAGCACATGAAGTTGTTCTCAGGCCTACCTTCTCTTATATTAATCAGAATGACAGTTTGATAGGGAGCCCGCACCCTCCCCGAATGCAAGAAAAAAAAATGCTTTTCAGCACAGTTGCAATGAAACCCAGTAAGAAAAGCTCCCCCTTCTCTGTGTTCAGTTTAAAAATAAGATTTAAAAAAAAAATTGAGGTCATGTCTATTTCACAGTGACTCTAAATCCCTTTGGGAACCTTTATAAAAGGCTCTCCTTAGGTATCTCTTGCCAAAATTCCTTTTTTCTTTCCCACACTGGAAGGAAACAGGCCATATGCCAGTTGGCTGTTGTGTTCCATCCAAGAGATGTCAACAGTGAAGCTGAATGTGCCAAGGGAGTTAAGTGCTTCTGTACTCTAAAAAGTGACACATTTAATAAATGTGGACTTCTTCAGCTAACAGAAATAATCATGACCAATTAGAACAGGATAAAACTGTCCAAACAACGTACTTTTAATAATCTTCTGAGGGCACTTACCCAAGATAATATAAATACTGTTTCCTTTTAACTGAAACTTTAAGCAACAAAAGACTTAACTGGCTGGTACGTTTTTCTTTGTCTTCTGCTCTTGCCTAGACATCACTAACTTATGATTACTGTGGTGACTTTATACCAGTGATGGCGAACCTTTTGAGCTCGGCGTGTCAGCATTTTGAAAAACCCTAACTTAACTCTGGTGCCGTGTCACATATAGAAATTTTTTGATCTTTGCAACCATAGTAAAACAAAGATTTATATTTTTGATATTTATTTTATATATTTAAATGCCATTTAACAAAGTAAAATCAACCAAAAAAATGAGTTTGCGTGTCACCTCTGACATGCGTGTCATAGGTTCGCCATCACTGCTTTATACTATAAGGAATCTATGTGCCTATTATTACAGATCATACAAGTTTTACTCTCCTGATTAAATAAGAGGGGAAAAAAGTTACTACTTCAAGTGGCTTTAATAGTTGAAATAATTGATACAGAAAGCAATTGATGGCCTGACCAGTGTGGCTCACTGGTTGAGCATCAACCTATGAACCAGGAGATCAGGGTTCAATTCCCAGTAAGGGTACACACCTGGGTTGCAGGCTCGACTCCCAGTAGGGGATGTGCAGGAGGCAGCTGATCAGAAATTCTCTCTTATCATTGATGTTTCTATCTCTCCCTCTCTTCCTGTCTGAAATCAATAAAAATATATTTTAAAAAAATTTTATTTAAAGAAAGCAACTGATGTTTGTTACCAATATTTTGATAAAAGTCTGAGCCCAATTTACCAGTTCAACCTCCAAACAGTGTTAATATTTCATCTATTAATGATGTTTCTTTTCATGATATAAATCCAGAAGATGATGTATTTTTGCTTTATCAATTTCAGTATTAAAATGTAACAGGAGCTAAGTATCAAAGAAAAATAACAAGCAGTGTTATTATAAGCCATTGTGTGATATTCTGATATGTATTATTCATGACATTACTAAAAAGAAGCAAAATAAACAGAAATTCTGTGGCAACCAGTTCTTTTTGAACTATTAAATGTCAAAAACTTGTGGACTTGGGAGACTGCATTTATGTAAGCAATTTCACATTGTATTTTATGTAAGCAAATGAACAACAATCAATACATGGTATATATTTAATATGCTTTTTTTAAAGCTTAATGTCACAGGTTAACAGGAGTTAACTACATAGAAAAAGTAATTAGCAGGGATGGGTTGTGAATTAGCCCATCAGGCATGCAGTATGACATGCAAAATAAACTAAACTGTGTGGCCAGGATATTGTATCTTCCTTTCATGCTACAGTGAATTGTACTACCATTTTCAATGTAATAGTAGCAAAAATGGCCAGAAAAGCCATTTGAGAATTATATCAGGTATACAACATGTAACATTAATGCAACTTTATATTAGTATACAACTTGTAATATTATTACAACGGGCATTTACCACCAATGATTAACATCCAAATAGCTCAGCAGAGAAAAAGTCATTTAGCTCAACTGTTATTCATCACGCTGATATTAAATGGCAGTACTTGACAAAGGTGGTTGTTTATCTGCCTAAAAGCTAGTGTAGGCCTACTTTCTATCAACTATGTCAATGGATCTAGCTTTATTTTTAATGCAGTGAAAGAAGCAGCTACACAAATTGGGCTCATTTTTCTTAATTCCCCTTGTATTAAATTTGGAACTTCATCTCCAAGAACTGGGCTAGGGAATAGAACAGGGAGCTAAGCAGACAGACTTTTGAAGTCTTACTGCCCAGCTCCTTGAGTTATCATTAATTTGATTGACATTTCTCCTATATAAAAGTTGCATTAGCTTGTACTTAAGCAAAATTATTAGTATTCCTTAATTTTAAGATCCCTGGACTATTTCTCTATCTTTCTACACACAAATTTTACAGTTCAAATGATACTACTACTCCATGTTTATGATAAATGGGTATCCTGAATTTCCTAGGACCTGGTATCTAATTTCAGTACTTTACGCAAATGTGTAACTTAGTGATTTAATTTCCAGATTTTCATAACAACTACACATATACATTCTCGAAATATATGATCCGAGTTTTCTAATTTCAAAAATTAGAAAACAGGATCAGCATACATTCTCGGCACAGTGCATATATTTCACTACCCCCACCTACCTCCTCATTTAAGGCCCTTCCCTGGTGCTTACCCGATTGTATTTTCATCTGCTCAGACCTCTTCCACATTCAAAGAGATCTTTTCCAAGAGACTCAACTTCAAGCATAGATCCCGCTGCTCATTCTGCTCTCTTCTCACAGGAGTCTTGCCTTTTCTCACATCCAATCCTATTCACCAAGATAATGAAATAAGATATAAGGCTGCTAATCATTACCAATATGAATCATGTGGCCAAAAAGATTAAATGTTAAAAGTCTCATATAGTACTTAAAACTGATACAGAAATTTTCTTTTTGGTTAAAATATAATTTAACTGAATTATTTTGTATCTATATTTTAGAGTAAAATTATTTCAGAAGTGTACTCAAAAGAATATCCTAACAATAGTATAAATCCTGACACCGAGACATACATTAAAAGTTATGGAAAAGCTGCAAAAAATATAAAAGGCATACAGATATGAGGTTACTCATTGACTACTTGCAAATCCTCAAAAATGACAGATGATTGAAGTTAATTTCTATTTTTCTGTTCCTGTTTTACATAATACATTTGTATTATTTTACATAATACATACTGAGCTGGTTGGAGACAGAATAGACTCAGTAAAATAACCAAAAATGACAGAATATACCATTTTTGTGGGAAGGGAACTAACTTGCATTTAGTACCTTAAGATTTTTACAAGATAAAGAAAGTACTACCCATTTTAAGTGCATTCCACTGATGCTTTTTTTTTTCCATGTACACTCTTAAAATAACTAAATTAGGTAACCTTTCTGGAAAAGGAAGCATTAAGGTTGTTGAAATAGCTTAGTAAAAGAAAAATAAAGGAGGATCTGTGATTACACCTGTTATTTTATCAGTTTTAATTCTGGAGAGAGGTAATGAGAAAAGCTCAATGGCAAATGGAGGGAAAACGGTGAAGGTATGACAGCCCGGCAACCATGCAGGAAGGTGTCAAGACACCTTCCCAGTGCACTACGAGCCCCGCAGGGAAGATGCAGCATGTTGGATTAGAAAATAGCTTCCGACAGGACTTTTGAATCTGGACCCACTGAAACACCATCTCAATTTTTAATCCAAGGGCCGGATCGTCACCCGCTTACACACCCCAAGCCTCACTGAACCAGCCTAGCTCTCACTCTTCAGGGTCCACCGCTAGTTGAGAGGTTCATCGTCGGAGGGTGGACCCAGATTTTGAAATCTATGAATGAGGAACGCCGAGAAGGGGGGCTAGGGAGAGGCCAAGTCTTAGGAGAAAAATGTGTGATCAGGGAAATTTTAAAAAGGGAAGTATTTATCCTGCCCCAGGTGGGTGAAGAATGAGAGGTGCTAGTGAGCAGGGAAGGGAGGGGAATCGACCTCGAGGGAGGCAGTAGAGAGAAAAGAACACGAGCTGGGAAACCAGAAAAATCTCGGTCCACATGCGACCTGCCCGGTCGGCTTTTGGGCAAAATCCCTCCCGCCCTGTGGGCTTTCCGGTGTCCCCCGTCCCGTAAGGCCGGGGCCATTCCCCGCTTCCCCAACCCGGGGGGCTTCAGGGACGATTAACGGAACGTGGACGTGCGGGAGGCCAGCACCCCAGCTCAGGGGGCCCAGGGGGACGTTGGGGGACGGAATTTTCAGAGCCTTCCGCTTCCTTCTTCCGGCAACTGGGGCCCCGAGGCCGGCCCGCGCAGGCCGGGGGTCGGTGCCCCCGGGGGGGGGTTGGCCGGGGGCG